CCCCTGAATAATACAAGCTCATCCGTCCCGCTGTCAGTCTCAATTTAAATAATTTATATGTGGCAATAAATAGAGGCTCTGGCACCAACTTGGAGAATTGGCACTTGAGAAATAGGAAATTCCTCTCCGTTTTTTACCCATATCGCCATGACTTTAATAAAATCAACAGCAGAAGTCTCCTCTTGTTATGCTTGTCATCTTTCTCTGCTTTCTGAATGGAGGTCTCGCCCGATCACTCATCACTCTGTCGGCAGGCTGCTTTCAGCTGCACTTGTCACACTGTGATTTCTGGAACCGATAAGAGCTCTGATTGAACATTTGTTTGGCCTGTGGAAACACCAGCGGAGGACGGCTTGTAGTTGTTCATTTTGTTTGTTTCTATGGTTTTAAACACCTCCGCCGGTCAGGCACTGTTGGCCTGAGCACAGGGCAGCGTCCAGACAAAACAAAGGTGCGATAAATTGAGAATTGATAGTTATTTCTCGTAAATACTGTCAGATCTGTTCTCAAATCATCGTCCATGACCCTTGCAATGCTGTGAAATATGTTGGAAACACTGTAAAGTGGCAGACTGTGGTGTGGACTGCCATAATCAATCATTTTATGAAATGAATTCTTGTGCACCTCCTCGGTGGGAATGGATTGAATGTACAAACTGAAAGGTTTAGACCTTGGCTGAGTCATAAAAAACAAATTTGTCTTATGTTTCCAAAAGTTTATCGCAGCTGTTTCGCACTTCTTGTATTGTCGTGTATTTTTTTCACCTGTTGGTGAAATAACATGACAAAAAAAGTGACATATATACGTAGAACATAGATAGGACAGACATAATGGACAGAGATACAGACATGGCATAAAGCAGTTATGGTAATGTATCTGATGATTTGATAAGAGTCCGAGAGTAGAGATTAAATTACGCTATTGTTGTGTATAAAGACAGGCATGTGAAACTCTTATCTAACTAAAATGGAAGGAGTTTCTGTCTGGTCGTCCTTGGATTTTCTCAACAACAGTTCATTCTATCGACTTCACACTTGGCGATTGTGTTGCTAAGGACACAAAGTGCAATGTGAAGTGCAAGCTCTTGAGATCTACAGGGCATACTTATTAGTAGTCATTACTACAGACAGGAGTAGTTGCTCAGTGGCACAAAGGACCAAAAAGTTCAATTTCCAGGTATAAAATTATCCAGATCTTCCCAATCTATGGGCCCATAGAGCAAGTGCACCAGCATTTCCCTTAACTCGGCCTCCCAACTACTCTGTCCCAGGGTTACTCACATTAATGACAGTAGGAAAATACCTCTGTATTCGACTATTAGTGAATTTTACAACTTTTAAGACATAAGTGACTGTACTGGGATGTTGATGTACCTAAAAACAAATTAAATGCTGATTTTCAGGCATCTTTTTCACAATGTAAGTCTATGGGGAAAACTCTTTTGGGAACCACAGCATCATGTGACGGACCTGAATGCTGTAATTCCAGGTCAAACTGGCTTCAAAGCCCGGCCGCCTGGGGGCTTGGCAGAGAACAGATAGAGCAAGACTATAGATGTTCCTTTTTTAGCTATCTAAGCATCAGCAAAGCACCTTTTTGAAATGCATGCCTCTGTTTCCAGTAATGGCCTGGCTTTGACTTCATTCAGCCCATAAAATATTCGTGTGAGCTTTATGCGAGCATACTCTGCCACTGCCAGGGGATGCAACTATGTCATGGCAGGTATATTGCTCAGGACCCAAGGAAGCGCAGCCTCGGGTGTGTTGTTGGGATGAGCAGTTCTCGAGAAAGCTGCAAGCAGCAGCATCACATGCAAAGCAATCGGCTCGTTACAAACAGGCACATTTTGTACAGACACTGCACTATATGTCACTATTTATACTCGTGCTGCCATATATCCAATGCATCAACTGACTTGCGTGCACTGGGTTCATTCTTTACATTCATTGCATCCATCGTCACTGATATATTGTTATTTAAGAAGTAATTCTGTTTCATCCTGCTTGCAAATAAGACCTCTCAGTTTGAGCGTTATGAGTTTTGCATAGAACATAAAATGTGTGTATTTTTATTAAGTACGAAGATGCAATTTTTCTTTCTGCATCTTATATCAGAGCCACTTCTGTTCAAATTTTGCTACAGTACACCCTGCATGTTTAATGTGTGCTTCAGGGTGATGGGTGCCACTCAGAAGCTTCAGTCGATGATGTCATCTGTTTTTTTCCCAAGCCATGTGCCTCCAGCTGTCTTTGTTGTTGCTCTGTTTTTGACACAGATACGTGTTGGTGGACAAGAGAGGCCTCTGGCAAAGAAATAGATTATTTCACTTTGATCATAATTTGATCTGGATTTATTAGGCAATACGTTATTTTAGTCCTACTGTAATTATTCAGCTAACAAGAACTGAATGGCACCATCATGGAAACATTCTGTTATAACAGCAAAACAACAACCTGTTTTTATTTCTTTCATACTATGCACCTCACTACTGGAACGAACTGCAGAACAAACTAAAGTTACAGACATTAATTTCTCTGGGGGACTCAAGTGTAAACACGTTCTGCTTGTTTATATATTTTACACTGGTTTTGAATATTTTAATTATTGTGTGATGACTGCTTTATGAGAATTAATTGTCTTTTTGTGATATTGTTTACTTCTAATTTGCTCCCAGATCTATCTTATAAAAAGAATAGTGAACTACGTAACACCAGTACAAATATAAAAAAGAAGCATTTGCATCCATGGAACTGGAGACACACCAGTGACAAATCCAGCAAAACCAGTTTTTGTTTGCTGGTCTGGTTGTGTTTGCTCTTGTGGCAGATGTAGAGGAAAGGATTAGTGTTACAGGTGGGGACCTTTTGAAGATATATTCGCTCAGTACCACCAGCAGACGCCCTAAATATAATTGATATATCTATGTGTTATTGCCAGTGCTCCTGAATTACATCACGCTACATTTATTTGGCACTTTTCGCCAAGTTTCTCTAGTTTTACTCTTGCACACTTATAATTATACAATAAGCCACAAGCGGCTGTGGTTTAGACTGATTTTAGAACAGTTTAAATCACAGCCTCTCGCTGCTTATTGCTGTTATAAAATGATTACTACACACAGAAAATAAATACAGCTGCAAAATATGCAACAATTTATTGATAACAACCATACCTCCCTTAAGCATTGTAGTTCTTCAGTAACATTTAGTATAATAGTTGCCAAGCAACGCCGAGACACAGCGGAAAGTGCTGGCTGCTTTACAAATCTGTGACAACATGGAGGCAAACAAGTTCAGCCCCATGGAGTCAAGTAAAAAACAATGTATTGACCATTGGCAACTTACGTTCTCTTTACCCGAGCTGTTGTTACAATGTAGCCCGGTGACTTGTAGCCCCATTACCTGCTGAGTAACTGGGATACACTGTGACAAAAATGATATTGCTAACATTTGACAACAAAGCTAGAGAAAAGTGAGCACCATAGGCTACAGATAATAACACACAAGCTAGCTAAAGTTACATCATTCAAAGTATACTATGCAGGATTGTCGGTTACTGTTTGTAAACACAATGACCAGTGAAAATAAAGGTAAAAGCCAATTCCAGATTTACTCTGATTTGGTGTTTTGCCTCACTATATTTGCGTTTTTTCGGCGCCATGACTCTTGGATGCCTGCTGTTAACAGTCTGGCACCTGGGGTCTCATTTATAAACATTGTGTACACATAAAATGAGGCCTAAAAGAGCCGTACGCAACTTCCCACGGAAAAGTTGTTATCTATAAAAACTTTGACCCATGGTTATGAAGATTTTGGAGACAGGGAATTGGCAACCAGATGGTGAGGTGGAAGCCTGATTGTAGAAACTGTCGAATATTCTTTTGGCTTTTGTCCGTACAAGTATTTTTAGTATGGATCCTGCTCACTGTGGGGGTACATGCCCATAAACATTACGAACACAGAAAATAAGAAGGAAATAAGAAAGTACAGGCAGAGGGCAGAGTCTCTGCAGAAAAATACACCGCCACACACTTCTAGTTGGTAAGCGATGATTGAGAGGGATTACTTCTGTATGAGTCTATACATTGTCTTTTTAGGAAAATCCTCGGAGTATATCTTTAACCTACCATAGATCATTGGTGTAGTTTGTCCACTCTGGGTGGAGGTAAAAGGCCGGGGGTATGGGTAGCAGTAGTGACAAATATTTTTCCAATGAAGTGGCAGGAAGCAGTTTCTTTTGAGGCATCTTTGTGCATTCATCAAATGTCAGCGTTGAGTTCTCCTGACTGTCCTCGTCCGGGTGGATGATAAATGATTCAGGCTCAGTTAGCAGTTTGCCCTCTTTAGCTCTGCCTCCTATATAACAATAGGTGACAAACTGGGGCAGCAGTACTGAAATTATGATGCGGACACAGCTGTGTGTTGAGGAAGTATTTTACAGTGGTTTCGAAAGTGACTCGGCCAATCAAGAACTGGAACTCTCCGTTTTATAAGTTGTAATTTGGGGTTCAGTGTTTTGCCACGGATCAAACCACCAGTCTCATAACAGCTCTCTACCACCTGAGCTACAGGAACCTTTTGATCCTTTTTCATTATTTTCACAGCTCTATTAACGTGTAAGTTACTAAACCTCATGCATCCACTTAGGCAGTTAAATTAAACAAACCATGACAGGTGGTATTTTGGAAATAGACCATTATTAATTCCCCATTTTGATTGTTTTCTGGTGGCTTAATGCATTATTATGAACTACAGAACCTGTGTCTCATCACCTTTTTTTCCTTAAAGGCCACAATATGTGTATTTGCACAACAAACCTGAATCCTCTGTGTGATTTTTGTGATTTTTTCTTTTTCAAATGGTCCCAAAACCTTGTCTCAAACCTTCGCTGAGCACCCGTCAGTGTCTGCGTGTGAATAATTTGACACACAAGTGGAATATAAAGATGGCAGGATACTCTGGCCTCTTCCTTAATGACAGTGTTTTCATGCTGTTTTTCAGGAACTGTGTGTGTGCAGCTTAAATGACGAAGTGGAACTTGTTCCGGCATCAGACAACGCCCATGGTCGCTGCTAAGCCAACGGGGGCCAGTGCCTTGACTGTGACTCCAGCCCCCGTCGCATCAGTCTCTGCCGACAACGCCACAGAGCCGGTTAACAAGAACGATGTCTTCGACGAGATCAAAAACAAGTTCCTAAATGAAATCGACAACATTCCACGTGAGTGCCAGACGAAATCCAAACATGTTGCGATCAACCAATCTGTATTGATGTGGCTCTAAGCAATGATTTTAGAATTAGATTTTCTGTTTAGCTGCAGGCATTGGCAGCCTCATAATGTCTTTATTCAGTATTGATCACTGGCTGCCCTTCCTAATGGCAGAGAAATCTAATTTTCACCCAATCTAATTGCTAACCTAGCACCTCTTACTAAATATATTTGGCCCAGGACATGACATGGAGTAGGCTAAATGATTGGTTGGTCAAATGTCAAAGTATTTTGCCTTTTTTTCTTCTCTTTCTCTTCTCTTTCGGTATGGATGTGCCATTCTATACATTGGTCTGTATGTTCCCCTCAGTGCCGTCCTGGGCCATCATTGCCATTGCCGTGGTCGCTGCTTTACTCATTCTAACATGCTGCTTCTGCATCATCAAGAAATGCTGTTGCAAGAAGAAGAAGAACAAGAAGGGCAAGAAGGGGAAGGGGGACATGGGAATGAAGAACCTGAAAGGGGGAGAGGTATGTTGTTCCGCAGGGGGTCGCATCACAGTCGAGGGGATTTCCGCCTACATTGTGAACAAAGCGACGCACACCAAAGACAACTTTAGCCTGTTGATGAGCCTATTATGCAGTCCCTCCAGGATGTTGTGTTTTTGCGATTGTAACAATTAACACAAACTCAGCCAGTCCCTGTGAATTCTGCACAACCTTTCAATTCTGTCCAATCACAGCAACTTAACCACAAATTTGACTTTTTAAAACGAGTAAAATCTCATTTCATTGTAGAGCTGAGTGCGGCGTATTGATTCTCTCAGACCCCATCTGTCTCTGTTTATTATGAGACTGATGCTGCAGGACCAGAGCTCTGTGCCTGAGACACACACACACACACACACACACACACAGTGACGGGGCTAACTGTTAGCATCACACTAATGATGCTCAGCACAAATTCAATCAGGAAGACTTTCTTTGTGCTCATCTGTTCACAGTTCTCTCCATCCCACTCCCACTGCTTCCTCCAATCAGCTGACTATAGGTGTTCACTCTTCTAGGTGTCCAGTCAAACTTTGCCACGATCTCCATCAGCCAATTAGGATGTTACTGCAAAATTTAAAATCTGATCTCTCCTCTGCTGTCGTCAGCCGTCATTTAAAGATTATTTTTAGGGGCTTTTTCATCATTAATGACAGGATAGGGGTTTTTTTTTAAGTGTGAAAGTGGGAGAAAGAGGGGACGACAAGCAGCAAAGGGCCGTGGGCGCAAATTGAACCAGTGGCTGCTGCGGCAAGGACACTGTCTTTGTACATGGGGCGCCCGCCCTACCTACTGAGCTGCTAGGCGCTCCTGTCAGCTGTCATTTTAGGCAGAACTGTCGCGCCTTCCTCCACCTCGTTAACGTCTAGCTATTGTATCCAGAGTCCAGGACGAGTTCACTAAAGGCCCGTTTCTCTACTCATCTAGATCATCAGCACCTCTCCATCTTCTCCACATCTTCATAGTATCTTCACCACCTCTACCACCACCAGTGTCTAGATCCAGGGGCATTTCCTGTTCTACTATGGATTCATCACCCTCCTTTAATATATATACCATCTTAATGGAGTTTAATCGGTAAAGACTTCTTACATTTTTCATACATATGCGCAAATTCTTCTCACTAAAAATTAGTCTCTTCTGATTGAACTAACCAAACATGTCGGTGAAGATTCTTAGTCATCCAGGTCATGGTAATCATAAGTGCTATATCGTAGGCAACTGGACTTGCTTGCGTCTCTTGAAGACGTTTCGCCTCTCATCCAAGAAGCTTCTTCTTCTGCTTCTTCTTCTTCTACGACATAGCACTTATGATGACGTTACCAAACATTTATTAATAAGTTTAAGGACAGAGTCGGGTTGTTTCCACGTTGGTATTAACGGCTCGGTGTTGGATGTTAAGCGCTGCGGTGGCGCTTCAGCCCAAGCATCAAAACATGATAAGTAGTGATGAGAGAGCCGCTCATGGAGACGGTCCGTCAGCACTGCGTTGATCATCAGCTATCAGGTGTTGCTGCCTACCCAACACCACGACCAACGTCACAAATAGACTCTAATTTTGTGGAAAACACTGAATACTCAAAGTAATAAGCTCTGAATCTGAGACAGCATCACAACTGTTTTTGCGATTTTCACTTGCCCCCGCAGTTTAATTCTAAAAATTGCCTGTAAACATTGCCATTTTTAAAAGTTGCCAAGAAATAAGGCATTTCAGGCCACGACAATGTCAAAAACAGCCCGCGTAATCCTGAAGGGACTGATTGTGTAACAGCTGTGGGGCCTACAGTGTAGCTTTGTACTGGAATAGAGGGGAAACACTGATGTAGCATGACACAGCTAATCCTATAATAGTGGGCCCTGTGTTGCACATTTTATTCCAGTAACAAGTTTCCTGTTTAAGAAGTATCAGATTACACATCATTTGTACAGGCTGTCTCTTGAACTCTTGAATGCCTTTCTAACCCAGTCAGTGTGTTCTCCGCAGGTGTTAATTACATTCTTTATCCACCATGATTATTTTTCATTTTTCTCTTTCTTTCTTTCTTTTTTTTTTTTTTTTTGTTATTTAATGTATTTGTCATTAATGTTATTGTTGCTCTTTCTCTCACTTGTGCTTCGGGATTTGAGTGGAAAATGACAGGACTCTTATCTATTCAGCCCAACCATTGTTTTCCCCAGTCATTAAAGAGTAATTATGAAAATTAGTAGTTAGCACAATGCCGTTGTTTTGGGGCCTGTAATTATTATTTTTCACACATACGTGATGGATGATCTGACATAGTACAATATGAATATATCCCAAAAAAATATGGAGTTATTTTAAAAACCCGACGGCCCTGCTGCACAAGATATGATTGTGCTAATGAGGAGGCTTCTCTATCTGTCATTTTCCTCGCTCCCCACAGTGTAGCTGACTACATTTGCTGTGATTACACTTCTTTGGTGTCTGCTGTGAGTTCAATCTCTTCCTTTGTCTCTGCTCTCCTCCTTCCTGCTTTGTGTCTTATGTGTGCTCCGTGTATCTTGACTGTGGTGGACTTCTCTGCCTACGGTAGGTCTGATAGCACGCGGCGCCCCTCTCTGGCCGCTCTGAGTAAGCGCAGACCAGGGCGGGGGGGGGGGGGGGGGGGGGGGGGGGGGGGGGGGGGCTTGGGCTTGGAGGGGTTGGATTGCAGTGATGATGACAATGAGTGCTATGGCTTCCTTAGTTTTTTGCAAGCTTAGGTGCTGCGGGTGCTTGAGGAATCTATGGGAGCGATTAAGCTGCTTCGCAAAATCCACTGAACTGATATGCCGCACCAACTGCTATGTCTTGAATATCCAGAGATTGCAATTATTTTGGCAAAAAAACAACAGAACAGAGACGTGTTTAAGTGTCTATGGTTTGAAATGAACATGAAACTCATCCTATGGTTGAGCCTTTGAATGACGAGTGCACTCAGCAACTCACTAGAGATCACTAACATGCATGTGCAAGGGGTAAGCTGGATATTTGTCAAATAATAAGCTGGAACTTTACCTAACTGAGAGCTTTGAGCATGTTTCCACCGTGACAGGCCTCGATTGTGCAACACGACCAAAAAAACGGACACATCACAAACCTCCAGAATTACGCTGACGTGGGTCTGAAATTAACATGCTGCGCCCCCACTTGCGTGCAAACACGCTCCGAGTTCCACGACAGATAAAGCTGTTTGTATCTCTTGACAAAGACCAGCATATTCCCTTGCAGTAGGTACCATTGAATGGCCACAACTTGACTTGAGAGTAACTTTCCTGGATGACCCATGCTGCTGACATACTTGGTGACAAGTCATTGACCTCCTCTCTCCCTGAAGCACTCGGGTCTCACTGAGGAGAAATGGTGGGCCAGAATGTTTGCCCACGCCTCACTTGGCTTTGATTTTAGTCCATCCAAAGTTAAACAATCAACTGGCTGCTTTAATGCACATTTGTCGTAATGAAAACCTTAATATTGGGCTCATGATTCACCCCATTGAGTTCACCAAAGGGCATACATTCAGACAAACCATGTCTTTGTCTTTGAACCCCCACTGGAAGTTTGAGAACAACTAGAAATTCTCAATGTAGCATGATCCCTCCATGGATGTGTACATTTCACTCAGACTACATAAAGAGAAATTTTTGGGTTTGACAAAAATTTGCTGCAGAAGTAGTTTTTAGAAAAATTAAAGCATTACTTTTATCTTCAGAAATTACGAGGTAATCCATTTTACATTTGCCGCCAAATAGAAACTTGGATCCTGCATTGTGTGGCCTGGCATGCTTGAATGAAAAGCATTTACCACAATAAAGACAGAGAATGCCACATATAAGGATATTGTGTGAGAATGTGTGTGTGTGAGAGAGGGAGAAAGAGTGTTTAAGCATGCATGAGAGCCTGCATGTAAGCAAACGTGTGTGCGAGTGTGTGTACGGTACAGTATGGTGTGTAGTGAGTGTGATGGTGTGTATTATCTGTGTGTGTGCCCTGTTCCTCTTCCAGCTCAGCAGTGAGTAGCTGGACCCTCCAGTCTTGCGAAGACATCAGTGTTTTTTCAAGAAGACAGCCATAGGACAGTAGGCCATACTGAGATATTATCCAGCTTCACGCAGAATCAGAAACTTTACTGTAATGTGCATATCGGAGCATATTGCTTTAACACGATTAGTCACGACTGCCTCTAAAGAGATGAGAAACTGAGGAGGCACTGGGTGTGATGTAAAGGCAAGATTTATTTATCTTATTCATCAATCATCTCAGGAGCCATTAAGTGTCAGTGAAGTGCTGATTTTTGTTCTAGCATATGATCAAGAGTCACAATAATTCACATTGAAGTATCAGCTGGAAAATCTGGACTCTCTTCGGAATAAATTGCGGAATAATTCAGCAATTCAGTTAGCTACAATAATCAGGCCAGACTACAATAACAGCAGCAAAGTCCTATCAGCAATACGAGTGCAAACACATTAATGAAACTTGGGGATGTCAGGAGGCGATAAATGGCACACAGTTAACATTGTCTGGCTGGAAATAAACCTGTTTGTCGAACAGCTTACGCCGTCAGTTTGAGGATATTCGCCTGAAGTTTGAGAGCTTTTCGAGGAAGAGTGTCAGGAATCACTGCGTCAGGAGTTTGATCAAATCACAGCGTTTCCTCAAAGCTCCGTCCTTCAGTTCCTCTCAGGAAGGATGCTCTGATTCTTGTGACAGCTTGTGTTTGAAATGCTGTACACGGGGTGGACAATATAACAAGAATGCCTTGCACTATAGTGCAATGCACTGCAATAGCTCTGCAGTAAAGACTAGTTTGAAGGGCTCACTTTTGTTTCAAGAAGACTGATCTTTATGGTGCCTTTTCTTTTGGGGTAGGGGGTCAAATGTTAATTGTGTTTTAGGCACAACATCTACAAACTATATCAACAACTTGGCTGATAGTTGATTGTTTTTTTTGTTATTTATTCCCCTTTTTGTGCCAGGGAAACAAAGAAATCTTCATTACAAAATGTAACTGAACTGGAAGTCATTCAGTGCTTCATAACACTACCCTTAAAAGAGCACAATTTTAATCATACAAATTTATAACACAACCTGTAATATAACCTTCTTAACCATGAAAAACTTATACTTAAACTTATATATATATATATTTATATATATATAACAGCTGCAAAAGTTTTTTACTGTATATCATTTAATGTAATTCTCCCTCTAATATCTATTTTAAAATATTGAGAAAACAGATTTCTCCTTCAAACAGCTGTATCTATTCCAGTTTCCCCACCAAAAAACAAATTTTACAAGATCACATTTGAACACATCATGATATATTTTACCTTCACCTAATACTGATATAATTGAACGTAGCATAATGTAACTCATTGCAACTTTGTGAATTGTAAATGGTAAATGGAATTGCACTTGTATCTCTCCTTTCTAGTCTTCCGACCACTCAAAGCGCTTTTTACATGAAGAGCCACATTCACCCATTCACACACACCTTCAAATAATGGTGGCCGAGACTACCGTACAAGGTGCGAGCTGCTGTAGAGCTTTAACACACTCACACACTGATGGAACAGCCATTGGGAGCCATATTGGGTTCAGTATCTTGCTCAAGGATACTTGGACATGTGGACTGGAGGAGCCAGGGATCGAACCACTGATCTTCGGATTAGTGGATGACCTGCTGGTAGTTCTGGCCATCGGCTGCAAACAGCTAATTGTAACTAGCTCTCTTCCTGCTGATTTCAACACAGATTTGTTGTGTATAATGTCAGATGAGGGAAACCATAGAGTGCGTTTTTTGAGGCGTCAATAGTGAGTTTACTGTGTCCTTTAGTTCCGAAGAAGTCTCGGGAAGATCTCGGTTCATCCCAAACACGTCTTCTATTGTCCCCAGAATGGGACACGGTTAGTCTTGAACCCTGCTTTTTAGCCCGCTGAAAATTAACGCGACACAACAGAAAAACATCGGCCACTGTCATCTGTAAACTTTATCTTATTACCGATAGACCGGTGGCAGTCCACAAGTTGAATACCAGCCAATACGTCCCATCCACCCATGCCCACATTGTTTCAGGCACATTCTATTAATGTTAGCTGCTGTAGGCTAGATTCCAAGTTTGCTATTTTATTGAAGGCCAGAATCCAATATGACCACGAAGAGAGACTGAGGGTAAAGTCTGCAAACAGTGGCCTATGTTGTTGAAGCATAAAGGATGAATTGTCATCAAGAAGAGAGAGAGATGGATTTGGACCTTAGCTCAAATCTGATAAAGAATCATTAACACATTTCCAAATAGTAGCAGCAAGAGGCTAGTCCCAAAACATGTCCCTGGAGTAATAATAGGACAAAAAGTACAGTTATAGGAAGCAGGGTATGAAATTAACAAAATATTTTGGGGGCAATTTTGGCCCCCACGGTCTAAAAAATGGGGGCATTTTCAAAATGTTTGGGGGCCATCAAAAAATTGTAATTATGTTCTAACAATAAGCACATGAAAAGCAAAACAAACTAAGATAGTGTCTTCACTCTTCAGTAGAAACCACTATAAATGAAATAAATAATGGGTTACATAAAGTTACGGTTGCAAAATATCACTCAGATTTCCTATAATTCAACCAGTTTAAATGTGATGATTTAACCATTAATCTACTGATAGCAGTACTAATGTTTCACCACATTACAGTTACTTTTACTGTTAAAAAGGCCAAATTACTATAAATTCCTTAGATGCAATCCTGGAAGTAAGTTAATTTAAAATTTAACATTCATTCTACCTTAATTTTTCATTAATTTGTCATTGTGTAGACACAGATCACCCAAGAAATGGTTAATTTATACTTATGGTACAGCAAAGCCCCCTCCCCTTCTCTGTCAGATTACTCTCACGTAATCAGTGCAACCTCGTTGATTATGTCTGGAAAATGAGTTGTAGACGTGACGGTAAATCAATTTAATGAAAATAAAATTATACTTTAATGTCAGATTGTAATACTGTTAAAAATATAAATACATATAGTTGTTTTGAAAACTTGGGGGCAATTTTGGCCCCCGGAACATGGCTTTTGGGGGCATTCTTGGATAAATTGCGGGCCAAATGGCCCGTGGCCCTTGCTAATTTCTGACACTGATAGAAAGTAACTAGTCTCAATTTATACTCATAGGCCCCCATAAATAACCTTAAATGAATCATTTGTGCTATTTTTTTTTAAAGTATGAACCTTGTGGTGTTTTTAAGAAAATATCCCATAATGTCCTTCAGTCTGCTTACTTGTGACTTTGTCTCATTTTTGCTGATACAGCTTTCTGCTGTGTGGGATATACAGTCACGATTTCTTTAACTTTTTTAACAAGTTAATGTGACTCATTAGGTATGAGTCATATTCAGAATTTGTGTAGCTGCCTGTGTAGCCGCGAGGCATTCCCTTCAGAGGGCCTCAGAGTTCCAGTTATTTTGTCCACCCCCTGTAATATCACATTTACAGGCAGCTATACAAGTCACTTATATTGATTTGGAAAGGCTTAACAATCATGTTTTTAAGAGTGAAAAAGGGAGAACTTCCAGAGGTTTCTGCATGGCTGATGTGTTAGATTGTGGCATACTGTAAGGTGTTCCTGTTTTTCTGTCCACCCCCTGTATATTGACTGTTTTTATCCTGCTGTTTCTCTCTCTGTCTCTCTCCACTCTTTCCACAATAACACAGAGCTCTATTGAAATGGCATTTCTACAACATTTTATTGTCGGAGAGAAACTCCCTACATCTGATTTTAGCAGTTTTTCACACACCTGTAATGCCCCTGAAAGAAAAAAAAAACAGCAAATGGTGTCACCCAAGAAATAGTGAAATCAAGTCAGGTTGCAACCGTGGCCATCGATGAACAGATTGCACTAGTAACACCGGGGTGAGCAGGGGTAAGTGGCAGGTAGGTGCTGTGGCTAACCCAACTGCTGATGCCCGAGGTTTAGTGTTCAGCACAGCCGCCACCTTGGAAACGCCCTCTCACTCTTCCTTTCCTCTGCTGCCTGCCCCCCCTTCCTCTCTGTCTGTGCAGAAACAACAGGATGATGATGATGAAGAAGATGATGTCGAACCCGGACTGACTGGAGACGAGAAAGAGGAGGAAGTAAAGGAGAAAGAAAAGCTCGGGAAACTGCAGTACTCCATTGATTATGACTTCCAGGAGAACAAGGCGAGCGGTTGTTTGTTTTTCATTTTCTTGTCCAAATGAGGAGCCTTTGGCCTGTTTTTTCACGGTTGATTATCAAAAAAGAAAAATAGCATCAAGGACAAGGTGAGCTGAGGAAATGCTCGCTGACTTCTAATCACATACTTCCTCTCTCCTGCCTCCCCAGCTGACTGTGGGAATCCTGCAAGCGGCTGATCTCCTCTCCATGGACAGCGGTGGCACCTCCGACCCCTACGTCAAGGTCTTCGTCCTCCCTGATAAGAAGAAGAAGTTTGACACAAAGGTTCACAAGAAAACACTCAATCCTGTCTTCAATGAGACCTTTACCTTCAAGGTAAGCTGAAACAGCTCGTGGTCACCCTTTACTTATTACTTATTAAAACAACATGAACCCCAAGCTGTTTGATCTGTGGACAGGTCCTGGTAAAGGTGGAATTCTCCTCCTGTCTGTCTCTGCGTCGGTGACCGCTTAGCAGCTGCTTAGAATCTGATTTCTTTTTCTCATATACCTCTGGCCAGCAGTGATAAAAACGCAGCAGACATACTGAAGGTGTCTGACAAGGAGAATGTGGCACAGAATCAAATTAAAGGAGAGGGCCACCTCTGGTGCACCTCACCTGCTGCTGACACAGCTCTATGAAAACAATTCCAAAACCTTTTCCTTGTCAAAGTCAGGCGGGTTCTGCTGAGGCTGCATGTTTTTAAGTCAGGCCATTTTGAGCTCCAGGCCAAAGTCACAACCCGTAATGCTCTGTAGTTCTGATCTGACTCACACTGTAAGTCTGAGATGTGTCCAAAAACCCTTTAAAATTGAATGGGATTACCTTCTGTCTTCTAGATTCCATTCCAAGAGATGGGAGGAAAGACTCTGGTAATGTCAGTGTATGACTTTGATCGCTTCTCTAAGCATGATGTCATCGGAGAGATTAAAATACCCATGAACACCCTTGACCTGGCGAAGCCAATTGAGGAGTGGAGAGACCTGGACAGCGCAGATCAAGAAGAGGTAAGAGTCATGAAGTAGCAGAGTGTTGTATTAGTTTTACTACACTGCTGTTTATGTCCATTACTTTCAATGATGTATGATGTAGAGACGCATGTTCTAAAGGCAATATCGATTCTAATAAGAATTCCTTAAAGTTGTAATCACTAAGATTTTCACTTAAAGGTCTAGTATGGAGGATATGGTGGCATCTAGTGGTGAGGTTACAGATTGCAACCAACTGAGAACTACGCTGAACAGCACAAAAATGCCAATCTATCTATGGCTAGTGTTTGGTTTGTCTTTTCTGGGCTACTGGAACAACATGGCAGACTCCGTGAACGAGGACCTGCTCCGTATGAAGATATACACAGCTCGCATATAAACCATTTTAAGGTGACGGACAAAATAACAGCCCTTAGTTTCAGGTGATTTTAAGTGTTGTTGACAAAAACATAGTTGTGAATATTATATACTATTCCTGCCAGTACATCCCCTTAAATCCTACTCACTGGACCTTTAAATAAACGTCTGTTAATTCACTGTCTGTTGCTGAATGAGATAACGTAATGATGGTTGAATTTATGGCCCACTGATACGAGCCCTTGACTTTGCATTGTTACATACTGCACAACTGTTTTCATCACGCAGTAGAGGTTAGTCCATCAGAGAGAGACGGTGGAGCTAACGCAACAGACTCGCTCTTCAACTGTGTGAAGCTGCATACTGTTTTTTTCCGGCCTCTGCTAGCATTGCGAGTAAATACTTAGTATGGCCAAACAAACAAAGAAGAGAATCTCAGAAGACAATCATTAACTTTATTTGTCCCCAGTTGAGTAATTGGTTGTCGGCAGGGGGATGCATACATTTCAAAACAAAGTAATACTTTGCACATCAGACGAGAAGAACAAAACTTGGAGAAAAGACTCACACGCACACTGCCTAACTTGCAAAAATATTTCTTCTCTACAAGGGTGCATACATTTAGCACACATAAAACACAGGACATAATACAACAAACACTAAGACCAATAAACATAACTACATGACATCTGTAACATATAACAGTTATTCCCCTTTTGCTTTCATATGCACTGGTGACCTCAAAGACGGTGGCGTGGCCCAGGTGCCAACTGCCAGCTGGCTGATGTCACACGGGTGACACTGTTTGGATCACTGTGAAGGCAGATCCAAAAAACGCAACTGCGGTTACCATTTTTTGTTTTTAGTGCTGCCAAAAAGAATATGACTGAGATCTCTGAGATTGATCTTAGAGATTGTAACTCAAAGGAGGCAATAATTCATATTTTTCAATGTCAAAGAGGTCACTTGAGTGATGAACCAGCGGGGAATTATCACCTGAATCTGCGCTATTGTGAGTTTCAGCTCATGATTGAGCTGCCCAGCCCACAAGTTTACTGTTTTGGTTCACTTTCACTGTTCTTATAGTGTTACATAACAGCAGGTAGCTCTTAAAAGTAATGTGCACTACTTGCTGAGCACCAAATAGCAGGCAGACACAGACTAGCAAGTGAACACAGTGGAGCATTTTGCAGCTAAAGATTCCCCCAGGAGCTGATGAGACGAGAAAACGACAAGACCACACAACAGTGCTTGAAGAGGGTGGACTTAAATTGACCGGGTGGATGGAAACAAGACTCCAAAATAATGATAATGTTGATGTGTAGATGTCTAAATAACAAGCGAATATCAGCCGATATTATCCAGTAGAAGTCTCTTTGCAAACTGTAATCATGATGCTACTTGTAAAAGAGGTTTTAAACACTGAAATACATTTTCTCAGACTCTCAGCAAAAACACTTTTTTTCATACAGAGCAACCTGAACAGCTTACTCAGCTGATGACATAATACAAAAATAACCACAGGCACAAGGTGGCAACTTCGTCTGGTGCAATTCAGAACGCTGAAGGACACACCTTTGTTTTCCAAAGCGACGGCACTGCATCCTCTGTAGCCATGCAGCCAGTAATGTGGTGTTTTTACCATTAAGCTGCACCAGAATATGAAAATCAATCAGTGAACCCTCCCCAGAGCCACCTTAAGAAGGAATAATCACTCTGCAGTTGCTTGCGGTCTCAGATATTTTATTAACTTTGAAAAGGCCAATGAGATGTACTTAAGAAAAACAGTAATTCCTGCTGCTAAAACAGAAGCGATGGCAGCAGGAATTATTTGCACTGACAGTGTAAATTTAAAATGTGACTCCAAAGGGAGAGTTTGTGTGTTTGTGTGTTGTACCGTGCATCAGGGAGAAGGCATAAATTCTGCGTCAGCCCTGCTTTAACTTTCTCTCCCCTCCCTCCCCCTCACAGCCGGAGAAGCTGGGTGACATTTGCATCTCTCTGCGTTACGTCCCCACTGCTGGCAAACTTACCATCTGTATCCTGGAGGCCAAGAACCTGAAGAAAATGGACGTGGGTGGACTGTCAGGTATATCAGCAGAACTGAGCATCAGATGTTGCGTTTTATTATCACATTATCACACATTTGACTAAAAATACATCATCTTAATGTGAAGCGTGGATGCTTGCAGTGGGACTGCAGCGTATACAGGAACGTGCCTGTGAGCACAGCCATTAGGTCGGTTCTGCTCTGCTCACGTGCTGACGCTGCAGTGCTTACCATGCACCAGCTCTCGCTCCCCCTCTGGCTTCAGCATTGGCCCCATCTGTTGGTGCATCACAGCACTGCAACCCAAACATGCATGTGCAAGGCATTTTTTTTCTTTTAATCACGATTTTGCCCTCTTCCTGTTCTCAGATCCCTACGTGAAAATTAACCTGCTGCAGAACGGAAAGAGGCTGAAGAAGAAGAAGACGACGGTGAAGAAGAACACTTTGAATCCGTACTACAATGAGTCCTTCAGCTTTGAGATTCCTCTTGAGCAAATGCAGGTAAGGATTTAGACTCTCTTATTAAAATCATTTAGAATCTATCAGGAGTGGAGATAGGACCACAGCATCTGACAGGGATAGAAGTGCTTTTCTGAAGGACGTACTGGTGTGAAAAAGCACTGCATACAATTAAACATAGTTACTAGAAGAACTAGTAGAAAGATAAATGTTTACTTAGATCGGTATCAATGAGCCCTACCAAGCAATCTGTCATCAGACAGAGAAAAATACATCTATTGTTGGGAAGCATTTATATGGACACAGATATTACCTGTACACTGCTGTCTGCTATATTGTTTTATGTGAACATGTCTGACAACACTTAGGCCACAGATGGTGTCTTTCAGATAAAACTGAAGATGGGAACACACCTGTATATTTGAACACTGTCTGTTGAATTGTCATTTCATCATCTTCTAATTAAATAACTGGTGAAGTGCATGTGAGAATTCATTAGCAGTAAAAGGCTCAGTTAAATACACTCTTGTGTTATAGTGCTTCAGCCATGGGTTGTATAAAAGAGGTGGTTGTAGCCTTGGGGTCTGAAAAGCGCCCCAAATCTGCAGTCTTCCTAATGGCCAGCAGGAGGCGACCGCGCTGGTTGCAAAACAGACATCTGGTTGTAAAGAAGTCAATGAGAAAATAACCCTAATTCTCACTTGATTGATTATCTCCATAAATATTTAGCCAACCAGTTTATGGTCTCAATTGCTAGCTTTAAGTGTAGGCTGTGTAAAATAATGGATGTTGTCGCTGTGACATCACTCGTTGGTTTGTTAACTCCCGTCTTGAAGCCTTGAGTTTGACATTTTGGCCGTTGCCAACTTGATATTTGTAGCCAGAAGTAACCATATTTGGATGAGAGGATGGAGACAATGCTAACGCTAGCTGCTTAGTTAGCACAGTGTATTTACAGCCATGGTTAACTGTGATAATACTAATGCTAATGCTAATTTTTGCTAGCAAAAAACACGCTTAAAACCATATTGAAAAATCTACACTATATTTAATATTATATTTCTAAAAAGAAAAAGAGGGTTCTTTAGTCCATGCAACACTAAACAAGACTTTTTTTTTGCAACAAAAGCATTACAGTTAATTTTCATGATGCGACTTTGCATGGCGAAACCAGTTGTAGCCAGGTTGCTGGGATATGTATTTGTGCATAGTTTCCTCAGGTTCTCAGTAATAAACACCCCTCGCTCCTCAAAGCTCCACTCTCTCATCCAAATATGGTCACCTCTGGCTCCAAAAAACCAAGATGGTGACAGCTAAAATTCCAAACTGGAGGCATCAAAACAGTAGTCCACAAACCAGTGGGAGGACGTCACAGTGGTTACTCTCACTTCTTTTATTCAGTCTGTGGCTACAGCTGTATTTTGTCTTGTATGATCAGTAGTTTATGGTGGTAAATGTCAGGGAATGGAAGACAGAAAGTGCTGTGTACAGTTTGCGGACTATTGTCACCATATTTTAGCTTTTAAAGGAATAGTTTGACGTATTGGGAAATATGGTTATTCACTGTCCTGCAGAGAGTTAGATCAGAAGATTGCTACCACTCTCATGCCTGGTAAATATAATGCTACAGCCAGCTAGCTTAGCTTTAAGTCTTGACATCTTGCCATCACTGTGAGGTTGCTAGGCAACCAGCGGAGACTGTAGGAAGTTACTGCTCCTGGCAGAGAAAAATTCAGGTACATGTTCTCCTGTTCACCAAAACTTGTTTACATCAAACAAACCAGACATAATGGGTCTCATTCATGAAAAGTGAGCAAATCTGTGTGTAGATTTGCACATAAAAGCCTACTCTACTAAAAACCTACTCCGGATTCAGGAATGCCGCGGGAAACTCAGATTTGATCGTAAACACGTGTGTATGATCATGAATGCCAATCCATGGTAAAGTGACAGCGCGCTCCCGGTAATCAACAATTAGCATAAATCCCCGCCCATGAATAGCCAATGACCACCATATAAGGAGGTGTAGGTGCATCCAGTCAACCTGTCAGTCATGGTGCAAACAAAGAAAGAGAGAGAAAGAAAAAAGAAATTTTCCGAAGCGGAGATCGAAATAATTTTGGGTGAAGTGGACTTAAGAAAAAACATTTTATTTTCTTCAGTTAGTAGTGGTGTGACAGGGACAGGCAAAGAGAAGGCCTGGAGGGAGGTAACAGATGCTGTTAATGTTGTCTCCGTAGTACAAAGAACCATGTCAGAGGGAAAGCGTAAATGGTTTGATATGAAACTGGAGGCAAAGAAACGCATAAGCACACACACAAAAAATTACAGTGGTCACCAAACAAACAGAAGATTCATTTGTGGGGTTTTGAATGAAGTGGGAACGGGAAACCAGAGATGTTTTGTGCATATGGATAAACTCTAAATCAGTGATGGCTGTCAGAATGTAGAGCTATTTAACATTTATTTTAACAAATGATACAGATAACATATAGCCTACAGCAGTTTGTATGCATCGTCTTCAAATTATTTGAATCTTAATAGCCTAAAGCTCTGTTTTATACAGCGTAAATTAAACATTTTTCAAATCAGATTTATTCATTCAAATGATCAAAAAGCCACAAAAAAAAAAAAAAAAAAGTGTTGTCTCAAATAATTCTTTCAGCTGGCGCGTGCTCCTTCGTGGCTCCACCACCTGCTGCTCCTGCTGAACCCAGGCACCGAGGCCGAAGAGGCTGTGATCCGGCTGTCATCCTTACGGATATTTTTATTATCATCATTCAACATGTAGAGAGAACCTGTAATCTATTGAGTTGATTTACATAGATAATTCACAATCGTGAACCATTAAACCTGCTAATAGCCAACTAATTTAACTAAATGTGTTATATTTTTAATATTTTTGTCATGTTTAGATTACGTGTTTCAAAGGCATCTGTGTATTGTGTACATAACAGAGCGCAATATGAATTAAAATTGTAATTTCCAATAGTGACAAGCAATATTAATGTGCTTTACTAAATTTACGCAAGCACTACGAGTGGTCAGGAGCAGGAGTAGATTTTGTTAGTAGCTACGAAAAGATCGGAGCTACTTAAATATTGATGAATGCGGACATGCACGTAAATTTCCGTCTGGGAACAGTTTACACACAAATTCCTTCTGCTCACGTTTCATGAATGAGACCCAATGTGTTTAGTGAGCTTTAAAGGTCCGGACTAACTGACTGCTGTACAGTAGAACCTGACTGTACAGACATGAGAGTGGTATCAAACTTCTCATCAACTCTCAGCAAGAAAGCAAATAAGCGTATTTCTCAAAATGTCAAACTATTCCTTTAAGGGGTGTCAGACATATGGCCCGAGGGCCAGAAGCGGCCTACCAAAGGGTCCGATCTGGCCCATAATATAGTTGTCTGAAAAAACAATAAATACGTACTGTGGTCATATTTAAAGATATTGAACATTGTGCAAAATATTGTTAACTAGCAACTTCAGTTTAGATGCTGAACATTTTGGGATTCCACATAAATGGTGGTAAGTCCCATTCCCCTCCACCCAACCAGAGAAACCCCTGTGCTGACACGAGCCATCACAATAGGACCAGTAGGCAGCCAAAAACAGGGCATTATGCTCAATCAGCTGCACCACTAGCCTCTTTAAAAGTATTTGAGTAAAACTCTGCACCCTGCACTCTGCACCCCTCATATCAGTGTAATACTTGTGGCATTCTGAACCTTGTTGTAATGCTTTCTCTCCCAGAAAATCATAGCTGTGATCACAGTGCTGGATTATGACAAGATTGGCAAGAACGATGCCATTGGGAAGATCTTGGTGGGAAGCAAGTGCACGGGGGCCGGGCTGAAACACTGGTCCGACATGCTGGCCAACCCCCGCCGCCCCATCGCCCAGTGGCATCCACTGCAGCCAGAGGAGGAGGTGGATGCTGCCATCGCAGCCCTGAATGCCAAGAAGTAAACTCCCCCCTGAACACATCGTCCCCACCTCCACCTTACTTACCCGTGCATTTCCCCCAACCATTTCCCCCCAGGCCCCACATATCTGTGTATATTCCAGAAGAACACCCCAACTGTACATCTGCTCCCTCCAAACCCCACGTCCTCCCCTTCCTCCTCCTCCTCCTCTTCCTCTGCCGCCACCTGTCAAAAGATCCATAGATACCATTCAACATGATGGGAAATATAGTTTAAAAAAAAGCATCATGTTATATGAAATCATGTCATTGAAAAAAGAAGTTACAGGATGGACAGATACTCCGTTGATTTCCTTTAGATCTATTTTTGTATTGGGGTTGTGGTTCCATTAATAAGAATACAGAGTAGACTACGAAGAACAGTACGAGTGCTATATGGGAATCTGGTGATAGAGGGGATAAAACATACATTCACTCATATTGTACTTCTCACCCCTTCCCTTTAGTGACACAGTTTGCTTAGAATAGTGCTTAATAATAAAATGCTTTATACTGCCATATGATAGAGAAATAACACAAGCAGGTCCATTCCTTAGGTGTATTGTGCACCATGTTCCACACCTGCCAGTTATCATACTAGATGATTCTGTTTGTTTGAAGTACATTCCTAGAGTTGGGTAGCGCGTAGGGATAGGCACATATCCGGTTACCCACAAACACACTGCCTTTTTTGATTAGTTAACCTTCCACCCATCGTCTCAGGAAAACTGAGAGGAAACTGAATCTCCATGCCTTTTTTTCTAAACGGGTTGTTATTATTCCTCCACTTTATGAAAATGAAACGTCGGATTCAAGCGCTTGTTCATTTTCCCGGCGACGTAAGGCTCACGACTAGTGTTAGCTTGTCCGTGAAATAGTACGTTAGGGAACAGGGAGTGGTGGATTTTTCAGTTAATAGGGGTATTTGTGTATTTTTTTGTTTTTAACTGTGCAAAAAGGCTGCGTTTGTCATTTAAATAAGAAAAAAAAGCAAGGAAAAATCAGAGCGGGTACAACAGAGACTGATTCCAACCACCAATGACATGATATTTACAAGGTGTCGATTACTGCCTGCAGTCTACCACCTCCCCTCCCAACGCCTCTGATTCTGTATCTCACTTGTTCAGTGCTACTGCCATTAGTCATGGACTTGACACAAGGGTTTTACTTCAAAGGAATCCCTATAACCGTCTTACAGTCATAAAGGAGACAAGCCTTCAAAGTAACAAAATAAGCAATTTTCAACTACCAGGGACGCCTTCCAGTTAGCGGTGTTGTTCTCTTCATTTCCTTATTTTTTCTATCTCTTGTTTCCTTTGTTTTATTTTATTTAACTTCACTTGTATTCCTCAAGCACCTTAAATCCAAATGTTACGTTCAAGTACCCTCAGAAACCAGAGCTTTAATTTTTTATGTTCATAATAACTGCTGGTTTTAAGAAGAAAAAAAAGAGCAAGGGACTTTTTTAATTTGTTATTGTTGCTTTGTTTCGGCTCAGCTTTTTTCTGTATGTGTTTCTTTGATTGTTTGAATATTACATTTCTCACTTGGTCGCAAGGATATGGTCTGGAAGAAGGCACTGATCCATGTGTATTTTATACACAGCTTACCAAACTGTTGAATTTAATTGCACTACTGGGTATTATTCTGTTCTGTGGTAATTTGACACTGTTCTTTGATCTGTGTAGTTTTTTTTTTTTTAATGATAAAATGTTGTGAGATTGAATTTTACTGTGGCACGCCAGACAGGTCTCCTCATATTTAAAAAAAAAAAACTGAAAAAGAAAAAAAAAGAAACGGACTCCTCTGATAAAGCAAAGAGACACATTACAATCTAATGCTGCTCCCTGGCTCCTTCACGGAAACTAATTGGTTCAGCGCATTTTTCCAAATTAACATTCTGTTGAAGAGAAATTGTGACAAAATCCAAATTGACCAAAACTCATCAGCCCTGATTAAATTGGAGAATGCCAGATTATTAATTAAATTCCTAAGATGCGTCGGGGTGCTTGGGTCCAGGTACGCCTGTGTTTGCGTCTAGTTATGAATTAAAAAAGCAAAAACTACCCGTTGACCGTGTGCAAGAACATGCAAAGTCAATGTAAATCAAATGTAGACCACCTTTTTTGGAATTTAATGAATGTTGGCTCTTGTATCTTTCTCTGTTGGAAACTTTTAAGTCTTTATTTTTTTATAACCGACATACCATGTTTAGATTTTCGTTTATCATCCCACATTATCTTTTTTCCTCCGTTGACGAAGCAGCACTAAAGAAAAGGCAACATGGAAGCAATCAAGCAACCCATCGGTGTGTAGTTTTGCCTATATACATAGTTCATACACGTTGATACTGCATGTTTATACAAAATACTGTACATAGGAGCATGTTTTAGAGACGAAGCAAAAATATCTCGTGTAAGTAAATGGGTGTCATTTGTCATTTTAATAACACAAACGAAAGGGGAAAAAAAGATGCACTGTATATTTTCTAAATGAAACAAATGTGTATTTATTTTCCATGAGGGTCATTGGAGAGAATGTCATACAAATATTAGAGTACTATTACTAATAAGAACCTTTCCACGCCTGAAATTCTTAAGCAAGTGTGTCGTCCAGTACTGTGTGTGAGTTCATGTAGGATGAAAATGTAGCCGCATGCTTGCTATATAATTCCTTGTGATCAGAGTTTTTTTATTTGACACCATTTATCTTCCATGTGTTTTGTTTTTTAAGCACTTATCTGAAGGCCAATGTGTGACTTTCTTTATTTTGTTGCTATTGCTTTGTTTTTTTAAAAACAAAAGAAAAACATGTTTTAAATTTTTAATGTTTGGGATGTCGGGGTCTCCAAGTCTGTAAGATGACTATTTTCTAATAACAGATTTGGCACAGTTTTATTCTGAAATAACTCGAAAAAGACTGAATAATTCTGCAATCTGTAGGTGGATTGAAGGAGTTGTTATTTGTGCCAGTAGTGAAGTCTGTTGGATCATATCTTTGTATGAAACGCATTTCCAAGGGCCAAAAGATGAATAATTCCCATTCCAGTGAACACAAAATGACTTGGAATCCCTTCTTCTCCTCTCTTTCTTTACTTGGAAGTTTTTATTTTTCACTTCTACAGTATTTAAATGACCTGAAACCCTTCAAGGCTGTGTCTCTTTTACTGTGTTTATTATACAATACGTGTACGTGTATACAAGATAAATGAATAAGATAAAACTAAAGCCATAAAACTCAAGCACTAACTCTTTTAGAGCTCAGCTGAGTAGCTAGAGTTTATTTATGATGAAGAAAAAAAAATATCTGACATGTCTTCATTTTCCTTGGCCAGTGTTTCTCTCTTTTACATTCCGTTCAGAGGTCTTTGTTCATCAAGAGGGCAAAATCCACTTTTCTGTATATGTGAGCTTTGAGAACAGTTGTGAGTTTAGTAGAGTGAGTGTGTCTTTTTCTACTTTCAGAGCTGTCGATGTCCTTGTTTCATAGAGGTAGCTGATTTTACAGTATTGTGATTAGTAACGTATATGCCTTGTTTTGATAGTATAAATAATAGGAACAATATCACAATAGGTTCTCAATAATACTGCTAAAATTATATATATGCTATATATATATATAGATATATATGAGAGTGTGTTCTCTTCTTGGGCTGAGTGCAATTTATGAACCAAACTGGGTCACTCTTCAAGTTTCTCTTCCTCTGGTTTTGCAACAGAATGTATTCGTACAATCAATAACACACTGCTAATACTGGTTTGTGTTGGCTCGTTTAGCATATCGCTCAGCGACAAAACAACAACAACAGATGATCCAAAAATATCAAAGCAAAAAGAGAAACTTAAAAACAGTGGAACCCAAGTTTTAGGCCTGAATCCCTCCCATAGAACTATGCATAAAGTTATGATTTCCACAAACACATGGAGAAAAAAGTGTATGAAAATATAGAAATATATATAATGTCATTATAGGAGTAGTTCTAAATTTTTGGGGAGTCGTTTATTTGGTTTCTTGCAGAGAGATGAGAGGATAGATACCACTCTATGTGTGTGCTAAATATGAAGCTGGAGCCTGAAGACAGTTAGCTTAACATAAAGACTTACTAATAACACCCGCTCAGATGGGCGTGGTTTTGCAGGATGTAGCCGTGCATACCTCGGGAAGCTCCGTGACTTGCTCAGCACTGGCTCTGAGTACATGTTCATACTTTATATGACAGCCTGTGTGCACCTATGTGAGAATGCAGAACAAAAATCCTGTATTGTTTGGTTTGATGAAAATGAGTAAGTGGCTAAGTATGGGCTAGTTTTATTTCTAAATTTTGGAAAAATAGGCTGAATAATTTGATGTACGTCAGGTAGGAAGGCATACAGATGCATATATTTGGTATATTTGGTCTCATTGTGACCAGATACTACATTGATAAAGAAATAAAGACCCCCATCTGAGTACATTTTTGTTGTTGGACATAATTTAGTCCATCTAAGTGGAAATATATTTCATCATTATTTAGTTGTACATATTTCCCAGTATAACCTCACGATGGTCAACTTGAGAAATTATCAGTGGTTAGCTAAAAGTCATTTGAAAATCTGTGGGGATGTCATCTAGTTGCAGTTGTAGCCATGCTTAAGTTTCAAATTACAGCTGTAGTGTGAGGTCTCCTGTAGGTTTAATCTTGGGAAAAAGATTAGGTTATAAACGTCTTTTTGGTTATGGTTTACATTACGCCCTGAACTTTGACTCTCTTTCTCATTTATCTGTTACCATGGTGATAAAAAAAAAAATCCCATTCACCAAGCTCGCCAGAGACAGCGGTCAACCCCAAGAGCTCTGCTGTTGTGACCTTGCAATGTATGTAGTTTTAATCTCTAAGTTAGAGCTGCATACATTGTAGATTCTCACATATAGTGAAATTACGCATTTCTTATTCTTTATCTTAATAGTTATGTCCTTTTGTTGTTGGTAAGTTAACAATTAATAATCCTAGTATTACCCTTTGACTGGTCATCAGTCACTTGAATGTGCGGTCACCCGTCGTTGCAGCTTCTTACAGCTGTCAGTCAGCTGTCAGCGAGCTGTCACACACTCATCTATGATGCATCTTTTGCTGTGCAGAGGACTGTGTTTCAGAACAGCCAGAAGAGCATGCTGGCTTGCATACTGCAAAATGCGACCAGATTTAGCAGAACATCCTGGTATTTTTGGCACACTGCATTTGACAGACTATGTATTGGGACATTCTAAATCTTTCTCTGGCATACTATATAATATGGTCGTATGGGTATTGGAATGCACAGTCTGTATTTTTAGGGAGTCCCGTGGGGAAATAGCAAGCCTGGCTCTGTCTGTATTTGTGTTAAGCTAAGCTAACCGTCTCCTGGCTCCAGCTCTATGCTTAAAGGACACATAAGGCTGGTATCTCACCTAACTCTTGCCAAGAAAGTGAATTTGCCTATTTCACAAAAATGTTGAACTATTCCCTTAAGTTGACCTCAGTTGCTGAGTTTTCTCTGAGGTAAACGCTAAACTGCCATCTATTTATCTATCTATCTATCCTGACAACAATCGTCAACGTGTTGTGCGACGCCGCACATCGCCTAATGCAATATTATATTTATCCGCTGTCCCATTAATGCTACTGACTGTGACCAAATGATGCACTGAGAACAATTCAAACACACAAAAATCACAGAATACTGCCAGGACCTGATCACAGTTGCCTGCATTTGTCAACACTGTTTGAATCTACAAAGCCAAAACTATTCACGCAGAGGCAAACAGAACACATCAGACGATGAGGCAAATGTGATTACGGGTCAATTTATAGCACATTTAGGAGATTTATTTCCTTTTTACTGCCACAATACGGTCACACGACATCTAAGTTCTATGGGGGACAGAGACTGGGAGCTGTGTGTGTGCTTGTGTATGTGGGATAAACAGGTGGAGTGTAGGCCCTTTAGCAGACATGGTGCAAAACCACAGCACTAGAATATATAAATACAATATACAGTACAGGTCTGCATGCATGGGACACATTACTCATTCCTAAATGTACATCTCTGTGTGTATGACCGTAACACTCAAACAATCCTAGTTTTAAGTATTCCGTTCTGTTGATAGCTGTGTAGATGTACCTTATGCACAACTGCGTCTGAAACTGTGAGCGCTTTCAGCTCTGCAGAGACAGTTTTAGAGCACCGTTTGTTCACACAACCAGTTGGGTTTTTATTTTTGTTTGTTTCTGTGAACAAACGCCGGGATTTAAAAAGGGAAACCATCCAAAGTTCAGTAGATCATTTACCACCCTGTCAAAAATGTGTTGAGAAGCCTCTCAGCGGGTAAAGACACCACTTTGAAACATGCTGTCTTGTCTCCTCTATTACTCGCTGTATTTCTTCTTTGTATTCTTGTGCACATGTGTAATCACTCCTTCTGTCTTTATTTGTTTTTCGTGATGTGTACTTCTAATGTAGAATGTAGGACTGTGTTTGAATCAATGCCAGAGTCATGTTTGCTTTCTGTTTGTGTCTTTGTCCTGTTTACGTGTAACCAGCTATGTACCATCAGTGTCATTATGCTGAATAGGAAGCAGGCTCGTTGATTTCCTCCACTGAATCTGCTTTTGCTGAGCGTAAAGAATGCCGGCCTTCATGTTTACAACATGGACATACCGTATACTGCCAAACATGCAGGACCGTACCAACGCCCCCCCCCCCCCCCCCCCCCCCCCCCCCCCCCCCCCCCCCCCCCCCCCCCCCCCCCCCCCCCCCCCCCCCCCCCACCCTTGAGCGCTTAGTCCTCCACCTCCCTGATGCAACTGTACTCTCAAGACTCTTCTTTTTTTCCACCTCTTTCTCTTCTTCATCATCTTTTAAAGCGTCGGAGGACAGTCAGGTTGTGTCCTCTAGCTGTGTTTCTTCGTGTCTAGTGTCGTGGTGCGCGTGTTCATGTCAGTACTTGTGCCTACTGTGGATCGCATGCTTTAGCCCTTGACTGGACACAAACGTTGCTCACAAACTCCTCTTGACCCTTATGTGGACAAACGTTGGGGATCCTTATAAAGTTATCAAGGGAACCAAATAACTTATTACAAATTTATCATATGTGTTACCAGTTCTGTAAAAAAAAAAAAAAAGTCAAATAGGAAATAAAGGCCTTTTAATTACCATGACTTGTTTGTGTTTAATATGCAGAGCGTTCAGCTCAGCTGGCTCCGAATAATCTCTCTGCCTGTGATGCATAATATATTAACGTCACACCGGGAAACATTTCCATTCCTTTACAGTTTATTAAGCAAAGTGAGTAAACCAATGTGCGTATATTAAGCTATCATCAACACATTACAAACATCATCAATACAATACACTGCATAGTTCAATATACCTACAGCCAGTATGTAAACAGCTGTATCTTATTTGTAGTTTAAAGTAAAAGTGACCAAAGATAACACTGGTGTTACAGCACGCTGCCCTGGTTGGACGCCAAAACCATCATGTTTTTAAAGGAATACATCAAACACTGGGGACATTGGTCAACTCATCTGTTAAAGTGAAGAGAAGACAGACACTGAAATCATTCATGTCTCAGGCGCATCATTCATCGCGCTACAGGTAGAGGAATATTAATGAAAATGTGAGGCTGAGTCTGTATTAGATATGATAAGATACATAAATAACACACTGTTTTGCAGCAGGAATGGCTTTATCTGCCTTTTCTCTATATTCCTTTGGAGTATAGTGGAGGTGATGCACACCATGTAGTCTCAGAAGAACCACTACAAGGCAGCAGCCTCTGTGGTGGTTTTATTCATATTTCTCATGTAAAGTAGTAGAATTTCTGGAGGAATGAGTCCTAAGCCCTGGAAATGAGTTAGCATTTTAGCACCCCCGCTTTCCTCGTCTTAAAGTCAATAAGTCTTTGCTTAGGTGCTTGACATAAGGTCTGTGGTTAAATTTTGAAGCTTTTATGTGTTGCAAATTACGCGGCTGTTAAAAAGTGGCTGTATGAGACTACAGAGCGTCATCATGGTATCCTGCATCCTGTAGTTTGATTCCCTCTCTGATATGCATGTAGCTACTGTTAATGCTTTTCTCTCTATGAAGAAATCCACAGCATTCCACAGGAAGTTATAAACCCTTCACTTCATCAAATGTGCTGCAGCTTTAATGGAGATTAAAGACATCAACGATTCAATAAACACTTTAATGCTGTAATACTATCCATTGCAATAACACGGGGCTATGGTATATTTCGCTGAATAGCCATTGATTACACCATCAAATAGTGCCTTGCTCAGTTTTGGAAGTAATGTGCACAGGTCTGTACTGTGACTACAGAAAGATCCACTGTTAGCACTCCAACGCTTTGCTCATTTGTGAAGATAATCTAGCTGAACAAAATATTTAAGTAGCATAAATATGTGTTTGCCACAGGGTTTATTTTGTGCAATACTAAAAATCCAATGGAAAAATCTGATAGGCTTTCTGACGAGGGAACCAGGGCAACGCTAACTTCTGCATCAGCCTCCAAAAAGAAATGTCATACCTGCAGCACTATATTTGTCAATCATTTTATAGACCCCAAATATTAAAGAAAATGTTAATAACATGCAACAGAAGTAGCACCAGTAAATATGGCCAAAATTACCAGAACAAAAGCTTCATAAAGTTAGGATTTTTACAGGGCTGTAGAATTGGATTGTGTAAGCTGTAGCCAGGTGTACATAATAAACTGTTTCCTTTCTACTGAGCTACACCTGCCAACTGTATCGCCGTGCAGAAGGACGGACTCACAGACAAGACATTTGTGCTCATGACATAACGAGATGTAAACATTAATGGCATCCTCTGTAGCTGAGCTATAACATTAGCTAGCTCAGTGGTGCTAGGTGAGCTATCAGTAGATGCACTCTTCCTTCTGCACTTTGATACAGGTGGCGGGTGTAGTTCGGGAGCAAGAAAATAGTTCCTACTTAAAACAGCTCACAACAAGGTGTGTGGATTATCTTGAGTAACCGGGTCATGATTTCTGGAAAGAGACATTGCTGTCAAGTTTCTCAAATGTATCTCAAAATTTTTGGTGCTTTGGGGACCACAAGCTGAGTGCCATCCAGTTCCATTCGAGAGGAGGCAGACATCTCTTCAGGAGATATGTCCAACATTCAGCAACTCACACCAACAGTCTAGACTGAATGGCACTAAAGGTAAAATTAAAAACATGTATTTTTCATGATGTGGTTAACTGTACCCTTTAAAGTCATACAACACTGTGGAGGTTAGAATGTCAGAAATGATTTACAGTACATCTACCAGAGGATTATTTTGGTGTTTATCTTCATCACCAAACAGTAAGATGACCCAGAGGTCAACCAAAATAATCAGTGTATTCCTTTGAAAGAACATCTAGTAAACAAACGTAGAAAGATTAGAACTAAGAAATGCATAAATAAATAAATATATCTCTATTACAGAACATAGGACACTTTCTATCACACACACTTGGACTGTCTCTGTGTAGCCGATATGCTGTTTTGAAGCCACTGGATAAAAAATCCTCTATAAAAGGGAAAAAAACTAATTAAAAATGGCTACTGAAACCACACAAAGAACTAATGAACATAATCTGGCAAACACTAAATTACATTATCATAATAACTGAAACCAGTCTGAAGATAATAAAGTGCTGCTAGTGATGAAAGATCAGCACTATCCACTCTATACAAAGTGCATATACTCCGTACTTTGCCTGTCAGGGCAAGCATACGGTCGCATTCAAATACTAAATGCAGTGGGGTTTATCATAAAATCTAATTATCAAAATGTCATAAAAAATGTATTCTAGCAATTTGAAATGGGTTACAGGTTTGCTAAAGGGAAGTTAACGTCTTATTGAGCCTTAATATCTTTATCATAGAGTAAAAATGTTCAAAATGATACGTTTTACATCACAGCTCATATAAAAATGTATGAGAGAAGTTTCTCTTTAATGTCAATACATTCTTAGTCTATTTGCCGTCAGAAAAGTGCGTCTTTCAGCACTTCTGTGCTGGCTTCGATGGTTGTTGCTACTGAGGTGCCTTGGTGGATTCGTATTAGGGCTGGGTAGGTATTGTTTGAAACATTATGATACCAGAACCCATAAAATGATACCAACAGAGTTCTGAGCAGAGAGGCATAGCCATACTTTCAAACATTTTCGTGTCATCTTGGCCCGCTGAACTGCCAACGCCATGAAATACACTGTGCTCGACTTCACCAGACCACAGATGTATGGGTTGTAGCTGCTGGGGACCAGTGACGGGGCTAACTGTTAGCATCGTTACCTCACAGTTATCAATGGGTTTAATGATAGAGTCAAGCCATTTCGGTCTCGGAGTGAGTTTGGTGGGGGCATTTAACAGCTCAGTATTGGTTGTAAGCCGCTGCTGCTGTGTTAGCTCATTCTAACCTGGCAGACATTCAACTGACTGTTCGCTAGCAGGAGAGCGGCTCCGGAGATGGCAGCAACAGAAAGTTTGCTGATCCAGGAGGGAGTCAAGACTGGTTCGGGATCAGACCATTGGCACGAAAAGGATCAAATGCATGTATCGGTTGACTGGAAGCTTTACGATACTATGTAGTTCTGACTTATTTCGGTTGATACCATAACCCAGCCCTACTTGATATCAATATCTAGTGTTTACCTCTGGAACCAGACTGCCTGTTTGTCGCTTGGCTGGGCGTCATTTAACCTGTGTGGTGATAAATTCTGATTGAAATCATAAAACATAATATATCTCCATTCTAAAGTGAATATTGAGGCCCTTTCTCTCTTCTTTCACAATTAAGACAACATTAAAATAGTTTTCTGCAGTGCATTATGTAGCAACAAACTTAATGTGATGTGTGGGTATAATATTATGAACAGTACCTTCATGCAAACCCCTGGATCAGTTTGAAGTGGGCCTTAAAAAGGTCGCTCAAAACAGTACGACTGGTCCCTATTTGATTAAAGTGAAATACTGGTATTACAAAATAACAATAACTAATCATGTAGCAACACTTGTTGTAACTCCCATCATAGCACACAGTGAAATTTGACTCTTCTCTTTGGATCCTCACACGTCCCCAACTGGAATTTATTTCTGCAAAGCAGCCATCACCATAACTCAGAGAGGAGTCACAACTTGGGACATCATGGATAATTAAACTGCCATATCAGGGTTGGAGAGTCCACAGACACAGAACAGGAGCTTCAGACATCTTTTTCATTTGGACAGTTTGCTGATGACTCGGATGAGAGCCCCGTTCTCATCCTTGAGCCTCTGGTTGTCTGACTTGAGCTCTGTTAGGATCTGAGACAGCAGAAGGAAAATATGATATTAGAAAATGACATCATCACTTGAAAATATATGTTAAATCATTTAAAGCTACACAATTCACCAAGACTATAATGGGACAATATCTTCAATGATATAACAAGTGGACTTAAAGTTTGAGGCCAAACCATGAAGACATGCTCTGCAGTACTTAATCATGCAAGTGAGGAGTGACTTTGACAATATTTTCTGCATGTGAAAAGTGAAAGAGAATAAAGTCAAAGAGAGAGAAACGGAGAGAGGGTCAATTTCCCAAAACTAGGTCATGTCTCTCATGAGGAGCGATGACTAAAAATAACCACCCTCTTTGCCAAAGTATTTCCCCTCTACAAGAGACAAACAATAACCCGCTGCTCTCTAGCTGTGACATATTACTGAAAACTGGTGAGTGAGCAAACGCCCCTGGCATGTGGGGAATCACATGTCTGGAGCCCCTTGTCTACTTTAATTTCTTCATATTAAATAACGTATTTAAATCCAATGATCATGGTAATGCTCTGCTCTAATGCAATTAAAGGAATAGTTAAACATTTTGGGGGAACACGAACCAAAACACACCCAGTGTTTCACCTACTTGCTCATATTGAAGTCTAATGATCTCACGTGTCATTTCCTTTTTGGAAGATTGACAAGAATGGCTATTTCCTTGGCAAACAACTTTGCATTGATTACACAGCACATTACACAGGACCCGCATATATTTCTGTCGCAAAATCAATAACCACAATAATGCATTTATGGTGCAGACTGCTGCTGAATGTTTAATAAATAAATACTCCCAGTGCAGAGTTCATGTCATGTGAAGCCCCATGCAACATGAATGCAGCTAAAAATACACTTCAAAGGAGGCTTATGAGAAATGTTTGCAGGGGGGGGGGAGGGGTCAGCAGGGTTGCCCTCTGATGGCCATAAAAGAGATCAGGTTAAAAGAGTGCAGAGGATGCATTGCGGGGGGGGGGTGAGCATCGGGAAGGTGCAGGACCTGCCTGAGAGGAACACAGCAGAGGACGAGGGGGCTGTGGAGGCACCAGAAGGACAGGGGAGCGTAGAAGTTATGTGGCTGAGAAGGGGAGAGGAGGAGGAGGAGGAGCAGGAGGAGGAGGAGGAGGAGGGGTAAAGGAGGACAGATGATGTCAGAGGATCAGAGGTCCTCTGTCTCCGGCATGGAGGCCGTCTCAGAGAGGCGGGCGAGGACGCGCAGCATGGCTCTATTCTCAGCCAGGAGACACTCGTTCACCCTCCGCAAGCTCTGGACCTGAGCCAGAGCAGGGAAAGCCTGCACAGAGGAGGAGAGAGATACAGAGAGGGGCCAACAGAGAAAGCATGCAGGGAGGCAGGCCGTGTGCAAAGAGAAAGACTCATACAGAGACCGAATACATATCCACTCATACAGGCATGCGCCCACACACCTACACAGACAGGGGAGAAGAACAACAGATCAGAGGGATTCATCTGCAACTTATATAAAAGAATATTTACACAACAGGGAGATTCTGAGAAGAAATAGAAAAAGCTGCAACAAGCAAAGGAAATTATGAAGCCAGCTCTCCTTGGGGGGTTGTGCTTATCGGTATGTGGAGAGTGGTGAGATGCTAAAGTTTTATTATATTCATAGCTTTGCAAAATATATTCATAAGAATTCACATAACCTAATATTCTACCATTTCACACTTTTACGCAAGAGCCTAGTCGTCAGTTATGCATCAGAGGAAAAGAAACGATTCACTTCCCTCCCTTCTTGGCCTGACTTTTTGAGGTGAACCTCAATGTGGTTCGACAGAAACATCTGTGGTTTGACGCGATTCCTGAGGGCAAACCACATAACACACACACACTCACACACAGACACACACACTCAGAGCACTTGTAGAGTTTCAGGCGACCCAAACACAAGTGTGTAGACGTGAATATGGCCAAGAATGAGGTTTAAGGAGGGCATCCAGCTGCTCCTTACAACTCCAAAACACATTTATTAAAGCAATTTGAAGCTAGCCTGTGTTTGGGACCTAACAGTTCATGCATATAATGTTCCCTCGGTATTAGAATAAAACGGTGCAGTTTCTGGAGAGGTGCCCTTGGCAAAAGAGAAGAGAAGAACAGAGTGAGGCGAGAATGCATAATGACCTGTATCCTTTATTACACTCTCTTAATACTGAGCTCTTTGATATTAAATTAGATCTGACCAAACTCTCAAGTCCTGCAGATAATTCAACACAGTTGCTATTAATTAAGTTTTGGAGGCTGTTGAGAATAATTCAGCCGCTCTGTATGAAATCTAAGACCCTACAAAGGGATAAGGCACGAAGACATGGATACTGTTTCATAAAAGGGAAAACAAGGACACACAGTGCGTCTGATGTGAAGCACCTGAAACCAGGACTCGTCACTAACAGAGTCATAGTGCCAGCAGGTCTGAAACATAGACTGTATTTAAAAAAAAGAACATAGCCACTGTGGTAACACTTTCTCACTCCAACCTTGTCACATACTGACGTTTGGTCATGGACTTTCCATGTAGACATATGACATGCACTGTGCCCTGGGTAAATTGGTTGCTGACGTTCTGGGACACTGTGTCAAGTTCTGCCTGTTACATGCATTGTCTTCTTTCAAAATACACTTTTGTTTTCACAGGAAATTTAACATTTGCATACAGTCTTTCGAAATATATGCATACAACACCATGAATTTTCCTTCAACAACAAAAGCACATGGTTAGGTTTAAGATAAAAGAACAGGGTTTGGCTTTATAATCTCACAGGACGTGAACCCTGCTCTCCCAGGTGAAAGACGGTGTATGTTGGACCCCACTCGGACTTTCACCACCTTTTTTTCGTTCTTGTCCCACCACGTTTTCCCCTGATGCCACCGGGTGCAATGTAACTATAATGGCGACTGGCTGAGTATCATGCCAATGTTACAGGACGCTCCTAGTCATTGCCCAAGCACCAGATTTCGACAACTTCAAAGTGAGACTGTTTTGATTGTGACATCACCCACTGGTTTGTGGACTCCTGTTTTGAAGCTTTGAGTTTGACGTTTTGGCCGTCGCTATCTTGGATTTTTGACCCTAGGTGATCATGCATGGACAAATTTAAATTGGTGAGTTATATAAAAATACACCATGCCATGAATGTCATGACGAGGAAATTAGCTCAAGAGATCAAAACCGTTTCTTGGACTAGACTGTACACATGTTTATTCCTGCCATAAACTTGGGCACATTAACATGTAAGTCTGTGAAGACTGACTTGCTTTTAGAGCTGGCCTCAAGTGGCCGTTTGAGGAGCTGCAGTTTTTGGCACTTCTGCATTGGGTTCATTAATCAGTCAGGAAGGTTGTCACTGGTTCAGATCTCAGCACCTGTGCCCCTCTACTGTAGATGTGCTTATGTGCACCATCTAGGCAAGGAGTTTCATAGCTTCTGTCACCTGCAGAGTGTCACAACTGCAGTTTTTAAAATAGCTACACATAAAACAGCAGCAGCAGCAGTTGTAACACTCACACACAGTAGTGTACGTGTTAAAATAACACCAGCTGTTATGAGAAGACAACACTGACATTTCTGCATCTGCATGTCTTAAAGGTTTACTATGCAGGAATCGTGAACTGTTTGTAAACAGTATCATCAGTTAAAATGAAAGCCAACCCTTGATTCATGATATTTGCGTTTTTTTCTGCAATGTGTCCTAAATATTTGCAGGCTCCTCTTGGATGTGTGCTGCTTATAGTCTGGCACCTGGTTGCTACATTTTTAGCCTCACCTGCACAGTGTGCCCAGGGACGTCCCAAACATAGAAACATAAGAAGAAAATGAGAAAAACAGGCAGAGGACAGAATCTCTGCTGATAGATACACCGCCACACACTTCTATTAAGTCATATGTGATGATTGAGAGGGATAACTTCTATATGAGTTCATATGTTTTAGGTAATTCTTACATCAATAGTTGAGTGTTGCTGCTATCTTTCCTTTCCAGTGACTGGCACTAATCTGATTACAACTGAACAGCAATCTGTAGCTTGCTAAATGTGAACAAGTGACTTTGTGAGTGAGTGAATAGCCAGCTTACTGGCATGCTCTGCATCTAAAGAAGATAGAAACGCGTGCCTGTGCCGCTGTATCATTTCACTTTGTCTAAAGTTTTTAACTATTTCAGTTTATCATGTGACATACATGTGTGTCCACACGTGTAAACATGCCCCAGTCTCTGACAGAAGAGAATTATGTGAGGTGACAGGCAGGTGTCAATCACTCCTCTGCGTCATAGCAACCACTCACCATCCCCCCTCCCCTGAGACAACCTGCTCTCAGGGCTGGTACCCACAGCGGAACCGCAGTGGGGCATCCTGCTGAGGGAACCACGACAACACGGGGGTCAAACATCTGCTGCTGACATACAACACTGTCCTATTTATAAAGTTCTCGTCACTGTCTGCATATTACACTTTCTCAGACCGGAGCTGTGATTTTATGCCTCTTGAGGAATATAACATTACCATAACAATCAAATTATAATCTTACTGTGTCATTTCTGACTGCTTGCACACACGTACAGCGCAGACCACGTCTACTCAGGCCTGAAATCGCTCTGCTGCTCGGCCGCGTCTCTCTTTGTGAAGCAGAATACACACAGTGCAGTGCAGGAATGTCTCACAAAAGCAGGTCTTTTGCTCTTGGACGGGGTTTGGTATTCAGCTGGAACTAGGTCACCATGTTCACCCCAACAGTGGGATAAGTGGAGCAGGGGAGCAGCAGCACAGGCTCCTCCTTAGCCTGGCAGGAAGTGGCCCAACAGAACACTGTGGGTAATGAGCCTGAAGCATTAACCTTCCCTCTCCTTGACTTGAAACCCACCTGACTAACCGCAACCCTAGAGTGTGCTATATGTGTGTGTTTTGCTTTGCTTGTAGGCGTGATTGATTTAGCATGGGTGAGAGAGGCTCTGCTGGAGGTGTGTACCTTCAAGTACCGTTAGTGTTATTATAATGTTGGAGGGGGGAAAAAATCACTGAGGTAAATGATGCATGACTTGTATAAGAGAAAAAAATATGCTATTTAAACCCAGGGTGAGTGTGCAAAATGTATTTTTGCAAGGACTGACCTTTAACTCATCCTCCATGTTTGACACTCTTTTCTCAAGAGCTTGTTTTTCCTGCAAATAAAGAAGGAGAAGAAACAACTGAAATATATTTATATTGAGAGAAAAGCCATTCGACTAGTATTAAAGCAGACAGATAAATTACAGGAAAATGGTGAAGAAAAGAGATGGACATTCATCTTGATAGTGCAGAAGAGCATGACAAATAAAATGCCAAAGTGTTGCCAAGACACTTACCCTTTTCTCCGACTCAAGTACTGAAGATCTCTCTGATATTCTGTCGTGCCTCTAAAAGACAGGATGCCTCTGTTATTGTGAGTTTTTCTGGAGAATTATATTTATTTTTGAACATGATTTCATAAAGTAATCAGGCATGATCTTCCATCTGCACACCCGTGGGAAACGGATGATGGTGCAACAAGAAGAAGACAACTTAACTGTCCGTTTTCAGCTTTCTGTTTTTTGTACCTGGGTGACTTTCTCTAGCTGGGACCGAATCTTGGCCAGTTCATGTTTGCTGTCCTGCAACCTGGACTTTAGCTTCTCGTTCTCATGCAAAGCTTCTGCATACATCTGAAAGTGGACAAAATGAAGAACAAGCTTTATTCATGAGATTCTGGACTTTCAATGCATCAAATCCTTTTTTTATAGCAAGTAAACATATAGAACTACAAAATATTCTGTATTAAATAAATAAAAAGGACATATAAGAAAATTATATATTGATTTATATATTCATAGGCTATATATTTGTGTCTTGGCATTTATGTAGATGCCACTTGACACGCATCATCCACCCAAACACCATTGCAGATCAAGTACATCCCCTCATGGCAGTAGCACTCCCAAATGGCACTGGACACCCCAGCGGACACTGCACCATGCCACACTGCAGAAACTGCACAGGAATAGTCCAAGGAACGTAACAAGGAGCATCCGTGGGTGGCTGGACCCTAGAGATCCTGTGTCTTTGCCTCGACAGGTCTGAAGCCCCAGCATGGATCAGACTTGGCTCTGACCTGTCGAGGCATGGACATAGGACCTCTGGGGGTGTCCTGTGGCGTCTGGCACCAAGGAGTTGGAGGTGGATCCTTTAAGTCCTGTGGGCTGCAAGGTGTGGTACCGCCATGTCTTATGGATGCTCGATTGGACTGGGATCCAGGGAATTTGGAGGCCAGACTGATGCCAAGAGCCCTTTGTCATTGTCCTCTGGCTATTCCTGAGCACACCTGTGGCGTTGCATGGTGCATTGTCCTGCTTGGGGGCCACTGTCATTGGGCAGTGCTGTTACCATGGGGAGGGGGGTACTTGGTCTGCAATGTGTTCGGTTGGGTAGTGCACGTAAAGTGGCACCCACATGTATGCGAGGACCCAAAGTTTCCCAACAGAACAGTGTAACAATATAATCTTACTCACCTTACCTGTCAGTGGTTTAAATGTTATGACTGATCGGTATATACATACATACATTAATTTACTTATCTTTTTATTTATTTATGTATATATACTTCCAATAATGTGTGCTTGCTGGCAATGCTTTCAGATTTTGACAGTTAGCCAGCTGCTAGCTAGCTAGCTTGACGCAGTGGCTAAGCAAGTTTGATTTTATTTTTTGCCCAAGCTGGTCTTAACTTTAGGAACTGACATCTGTAAAACACTTCCACAAACACTGATATCTATCAAGGTCAGACCAAGAGAAATTTACATTTCTTTATATTTATATATTTAAAAAAAAAAAGTCAACCAATGGGACTGCGCCTGCGCACACACAGCAACAGCCGCTTGACAGCTAGCGCGCTAACTAGCTAGCCTGCCAACCTGCGATGAGGTCTTGTTAGATAGTGTTAATATTAGCTAGCGGCTAGCTAAGCCAATGTTAGTGGCAATAGCGTCAAAGGAAGACTGACAGTCTGTCTGCTCTTCTCAGAGCCGTGTGTCCTACTCTGAGGACTTCCTTCAGAATTAAAATGCTACAGAGGTAAGTTAACGTTAACAACCAAAACTTGCTAGCTTCTGCCGTTAGCACTGCCGTTAGCCAGCTAACGTCAGTTAGCCGGCTAGCTGCAGCCTTGTTAAAGTGAATTGGTTTAGTGACATGTTTTACTCAGTGTACACTGGTTTCATTTTTACTTAGCTTCCAATTTATTTATTGAAAACTGAACATTTTGGGTGTCAAATAAATAAAATGATGAAGAAATAATTGCAATATCATAATCTTGAATATTATCAAAAAAAAAATATTTTCCCTTTCTGAGGTTATTTGTATGACTTTCAACATCAACAATAATTTAATATGACATATGTCATACGAAATGTATCATAAGCAAAATTGATAATATTGATAGACTTATGTTACTGTACAGTATGGCTATATGACAAGGTGTCTCTTCATCACTTGAATAAAAAATTAAACCTATTCTATAAAGTGAAAAAAAACTAGTATAATGCTAATCTGTCTATAAGGTCAAAGTGTATAGGGTTGCAGAAGCCTCATATTACATAGACACTATTTTAGACAAATACTGTGTAAATTTTTGTTTAAAGATTCCAGAGATTCTGACATTGTTAATTATCTTAAAATCCAATTAAATCTCCATCTGTCTGCCCTCATTGTACTGTTATTAAAATAGATAAATCTGCCCGGTGATCTTACAGCTTTCTGCACCACATGAATCATTCAGGAGGGATTGTGTTCATTGAAACTGAAAAGTTACTACCTTCTTATAGTCTTTGGTAGTGGAGTCTTGCTCCTGTCTGTTCAGAGCAGCCAGCCTTGTCTCTCTCCGAGTGTAAGAGCTGGTGCGGCCCAGTGGTTTGTCTGTCGCACTCTCCCCACTGGAGTCATATCTAAAAGTAACACATTCAGTCCACAATGCCACTTTATTTAGGGCATTTATTTTTGATTTTTCTCAGGAACTACAGTTTCATATTACAGGAGATTAAAAAAAAAAAGCTAAATCCTTACCTTGACAGTCTGTCATGCTGAAAGACAAAGAACAAGCCATGTTAGTTTGATCATTCAACAGTTCAGCATGGGAACAACACAGTGTAAAAAATGTTCTGTCGGGGTTAGATCCAGATTTATTTCTTTGATAAGACCAAACAGAGGCTTGGCAGTGAAATATTTTTTTCCCATTTCCATTTCCATTCTGAGACAACAGAGAAGAAAAACAAAACTTCCAAGTGAATTATCACAGCGTGTTCAGAGACCTGAAGTCCCAGAGGGAAGAAATGCATGCAGAGGTGAGATATAATTCACCCAAACACTGCACTGACAGGGTTCATGCAGGTCAAACCTCCCCGGTGAGCCCCGGTTAATCTTTTAGAACAGGCGGCTGCCACACAAATGCCTGCAGCATAAAGATGACATCATGACATCAGAAGCAAAGTATCTACTGTGTGACGGGTCGACGTCTGACCTCAGACAACAGACTGATAGCAGGCTGTCCTGGCAGGGTTTTGCTATAACTAGTCCAGTCTACATGGCTGCCAAGTTGCCTGTGGTGATCACATACTGAATTTGTTTCCACTTCACCAAGGAGTCTGGGTATTGTGCTACATTCACAGTTGTTTGTATCTTTTTTTTCTGCAGTTAGAATTCACACAGGTCTGTTTTCAGAAATCATATTACCTCAAAGATGTGCCCATATCTAATTAGCTGGTGGGTGTAGTTTATTTGTCTACTGCCTCCCTGTGCTGATGTCCATGATATTTGCTGTGTGCAGAGGGGTCTCCAATATCAAAATTCATATCTATCAGACCTCAGCCAGACCTGTTTCTGCTCCGAACCAGACTGAGCAAATACATAACTCACTGCCATCAGCTGATAAACATGGCACATGAAAGGATGATGACTGGAGATGTTTACTATCAGTCCGAGACTGGAAAAGAGAGACTGGAAAAGTGAGGCCTTACATAAGTCCAGACTCATCCCCAGTGTCTTTACAATATCTCGTAAACTTTACTCTTAAATTCAAAGATTTGGAGCTGCTGTCTTGCCAGGCAAAGAGGGCCTTAAACACCTCTGTTTAGAAATAAACAACAATAAACGTCTTGTGTGGTGGTCCAAGCTGTTTGAGACAAGAAGCAGATGTAGACTGCAGTAAAAAGCATACACTTTATAGGAGGACAATTCATGTCAAAGGGAACAGAGTGCACAGTTACTCCTGCGCACACATTTGCAGAGTCGGGGGATATTTCACGCAGCGTCAAAGGAGCTATTCCTCAGCAAGTGTTTACATAACTGAGCCAGCGCTGCCTGTCCTTATGTGGTCATGTGCTCAAGCAGAGCTATCCAGGAAAAAACAGACCTCCATGACCTCTGATGAAAAAGGGCCAAGGATGGAGCCATGAAGAGCTCTCACTCACTCCCATCTCTTCATGCAGTGCTGAGGAGATTCCTTGATCAGATTTGGTGTACATTCGTTAATCAACCGGGATGATTGGCCCCCTGGTTTTATGAATAAATCATCGTGAAGTCTGCTTTCGGGGATATGAACTGTTACACAGCCCTTCACCAAACTCTTTTAAGATTATGAGTTCCTGTACGCAAACCTATTTCACACTAAAGGATTAGCAAATTGGTGAAATGAGTTTTTTAAAACTTAATTCCAGTGAAATCTTAAGCGAGCCCAGTGGGGTTCACAGCACCTGATTCTTAATAAAAGAGGAAATCCCTAGAGCAGAACATGCTCTTACATATGTGTCTGCATCACAAAACGCATTGACAAAATAAAGCCAAAGCCAGAAACTGAATAATAGTTGAAATTCTGTGTCTGATAGCAGCTGCAGCAATGTGATTCCCTTGTTAGGAAAAACAGAGGGAGTCAGAAGTGGCACATGTGGCTCAGCGGAGCAGATGCAGGAGGAGACAATCAACTGTGGGGGGAGAAAAACAACAGGGTGTCAGACTGATGGAAACGGGTGCATGCATGAACCGCGGGCGCTCTGTAAACACAACTGCCTCCAGTTTTATGGTTTGCCAGGACCAACATCATGCACACCAGGGGGGGAGTCGGGGGTACACAGATGTAGGCTGCCTCCATGCGCTCCCTGCTACAGTATATAAACGATAATGTTTGCAAGAGCCAATGAAATCATCATTAGGAGACTCTTCACCCTCCCTCTAACCATTTCCCCTCGCTCTGTCACAGCATCAGTCCTTCAGAGCTCACTGGATTTTGCAGTAGGAAAATCTGAGCTACACACACACACACTCCTTTACCCCCACTACTGGAACTGACACTGCACACATAACCATAAAAGACGTTTCTTCCACATTCACTCAACTTTTCTCATTTCACTCCTCCTCATCTATTAACTCTTTACAGTATCTGAGTCTGTCTGGCCACTGAGAGCATCTTCCTCCTTTTGTTTTTGCAGAGAACTGACTCAAAATGCCTCATACAGATTGGCATACTCAGATCCTTTACGTATGTAAAACTATCACTACCTCAATGTAAAAATACTCAGGTACAAGTAAAAGTCCTGTACAGTATTTAGAATAAAAAAGTAGGCCTACTCATTCTCCTGAAGACATGCCAGTTATTGGCAAATATAGTTCATTACTACATTATTAATTCTGCTGCATCAGTGTTTAAGTAGTATTTTCCTGAGGTGTTCGAGGTGAAGCTCATTTTAATTACTTTATATGCAGTTAGTTTAGTCAATTGGTTCCTAACCTAGGGGTCAGTCAGGCCCCTCTCCAAAAGGTTACTATGGGCTGTGAAATGATTAACGGGTACAACAGAAGAAGAAATCCCAATTTCTGTTCCACAAATTTATAGTCACGTTTTGACTATTGTCTAATTCTTGCCTTTCTTTTGAAATATTGGCTAATTTCATCAAATTGAGCCTCAAGCAGTAAATTGATTTAAACCATTTAACAAGTTTTAAAGGGGAAATATTTATTTGGTGGGACTGTTAACAACTCATGGACATCTGAACTCAAAGAGGCTGTCTCTTTTTATAAAGCCTCAAGCCAAAAAGGTACCCTTTGTACCATTTGTTTAAACTTTTATAATGTTTTAAATTTCTTAAGCTCATCAAATGTTTTCTGTCATGTAAAATTTTAATGTGAAACGGAAAGTAAAAGAATTCTTTGCACCCTCAGTTTAATATTTTGTACTCTCAGTTGATGTTGAAATAATAAGAAATGGCCTATAATAAATGGTATATTAACAAAACAGAAATTAAATAACGTGCATTAATTGTATGTAAATCACTGTCATAATAGCCTTACATCATGGCAGGCGTCGTGTATTTTTTGGTATTGTCTTGTTATGCTCTTTTATGTCAGTAGGTGGCAGTATTTAACCGTGATTCCTCTGAGGACTCGTGTTTGACGGTGCTCCATCTGTCTGTTGCTGTAATGATAAAAACACCCTATACACTCACTACTGTTTACTTCTTCTTTCCAGTTGCCTTCCTGCATCGTCTGCTCATTAGGGACCACAGTAACCACCACCTGTACCGTACTCATTTCCTGCAAGTGAGGATGCACTACTTACATGACAAAGCACCTTCTCCAGCATGAGCAGTAATGAGTGTACCCTGTAAGACGTATTGTACCATGCCTCATCCTCCTCAGTCAGCCCTCAGCCAACAGCCAGCACCTCGTCATTATCGGGTAAATGAAAATTAGATATTCTTGTTCTTATCAGCAAGACTGGGAATTTTGTGCAAATACTGTTATATATTTTTAGGCCTACTGCTCTAACTAACAAGCAAGACACTGCCTTCACCTTCGCAGCAAAGGGAAAGAAGTTGATAAGAACAGAGTTAGCTGGCTGAGCTAGTGTACAGTGCCTGCAATAAGTGAAAATCCCTACCTTATAAACGCATAACTCAATCTATTTTCAGCTGTAGGTACATATTATAACCCTCAGCATTGCAACTAACAGTCGTTGGGGGACTGGAGCCTATCCCAGCTGACATTGGGCAAGAGGTGGGGTACACCCTGGACAGGTTTCCAGACTGTCACAGGGTTCACACATTTTTCTGTATTTATTTATTCATTTATTTGTTTCCTCCCACAAAAAGAAAAAACCCAAACAGTTTTCCAGAACCATTGCATTTTGTTACTTGGGTGTTTTAAGGCAAAATATGTGCATAAAGATGGGAAAATGTTCAAATATTTGAGATATTTACAGCAGGGGTGGTGCTGTGTTGAACCCTGGTCCTGGAGGGCTGTAGCCCTGCATGCTTTAGATATCTCTCTGCTTCAACACACCTGATTCAAATGATCACCTAGTTATCAAGCAGCTGGTCATATTTAAAATTTAAATCATTTGTGCTGGAGCAGAGAGACGTCAAAAAATGCATGGTTACGGCCCTACAGAAGCATGCTCCTCACTCACCCCTCACCTACAGTAACAGTATATGTTGAGTTTGTTTATGTGTTTGCAGAGATATAATCTATAAGCCCCAGAGAGAAAACATATGTAGAGGGATTGATAAGAAGGATCAGTTTTCAGATTAGTTTGCTGTACTATGTAATGAATTTAAAGTACCAGCTCATTTGTGAACTGGCAGAGACGATCCATATTTTGAACTTAGAAAATGTATTCCTCTCACACAGACTTGCCCGGCTTCATGAACCTGATGAGAGTTTTATACACGTCCACGCTCTAGGTTTCCACTGAAATGAACTCTGCATGTGGTGAGATGCTGCTGATTCACCAAAAGCTTGAGACGCATTTTGCTGTTAAAGAGGGAGACAGAGTACTTGTATCCAACCTTAAGAAGGTAGTTTGGGCGAACCTGTCCATGCAATACCAGGTAATTGAAGTAAGAAAGAAATGAATAAAGAAAACATGAAATAATTCTGTAACACTTTACCTGAAGGTATCTACATATGGGTGACATGGCACGGTCATGAACTTGTCATAAACATTATGTACATGTCATAAACGTTTATGACTGCTGTCATTAAGTGTCATTCGGTTTTTGTAATGACAAGTTGACATTGTTTGGGTTGTCTTGATTATGACAACTTGACATAAATCAAAGTGACATTACCAGAAGTTGTCTTTGTCATGACAAGTTGACAATAAATTTGTTTGGGATGTCGTTATTATGACAACTTGACATTAACCAGGATGACATTACCAAAAGATGTCTTTGTATCAATCATTATGTCACCTTGTCATAAACACATAAAGAGGTGAATTTCCTGTTAACGTCAAGTTGTTATGACAAAGACATCTTCTGGTAATGTCATCCTGGTTAATGTCAAGTTGTCATAATCAAGACAACCCAAACAATGTCAACTTGTCATTACAAAAACCAAATGACACTTAATGACAGCAGTCATAAACATTTATGACATGTACATAATGTTCATGACAGGTTCATGACCGTGCCATGTAATAATTATGTAGATACCTTCAAGTAAAGTGTTACCAATAATTCTATTCCTGTGACTAAATCTTATGTTTAAACAATATGTTTTACAGAGGGATTACAACAGGAACTTTCTTGAAGAGGCCACTGCATTAGACCCACACTTTAAACAAAGATGGATGACGCAGGACTGGACTGAGTTACTGGCTTGAAAACTGACTGACTCTGAACAGGTGATAATTGTTATTCATGTACAAATATATACTGTCTCCTCCTCAGTCATTAAAATGTCTAAATACCAGTTATGTTTCTCATAGTCAACAGAGCGTGATCATGGAGGAGATGGTGGAGTCACACTGTGGTCTGAGGCAAGCCAAGAGAATGAGGAAGGAGTGAGGAAGACAAGCATGTAAGTACAAGATGAAATTATATTTAATAGGTTCCTAGGCTTAACCACGATCTATGCTTTTAATGAATGTTTTTTTAATGACAAGCTTTCTTTATTTGGTTTTTGTTTGTTTGTTTTTAATCATCAGGCCTCCTCTTTTCCTAGTCTTCCACTCGGGGATACTGTCTGAGAAGTCAGATAGGCTTATTTTTCTCAACAAAAGCTGTTTCTGATTTAGAGAGTTTTTACACTGTTAGTCCCGACCAAAGTTTTGTATATTTATTATATGGTTCAGTTGCAATTATGCAAGTACACCAAGCACCACGCTCAGATGTTCCTACTTCTCTCTCGTCACCAACACCCACATGGCTGCAGCTCCTTAAACTGTAAATTAATTGGTTGTTGGACTGTTACTATGTTGTCATTTCAGTGTTACAGTTACAGAAAAAGAACAGATTAATATCTTACTCATATTATTTAATAATAGCAACCAAATTAAACACTTAACGGGTCCCATGAACTGTATAAAGTGAGCTGTGAATATGAATATATGAATTGTGTAAAAGTTTTTAAAAATAAAAGTCCTCAAAGAATTGGATTTGAGAATCAAATAGATTCAGGATCAATAAGCAGAATCGTAAAATGTGTAAATGAAGTGTAGTAAATGAAAAGGAGGAGTAGTTGTACTAAATCGCAGTACTCTGGTAAATATACTTAGTTACCTCCCAGCTGTGAACATCTGCCAAATGATGAGTGTCATCCAATAATGCAAATGTGTTCCTGTTTATCCCACTTCCTGTTGCTCCCAGCTGTAACACACATTGTATTTTACTAAAGAGGACCACATTTTCATCCAAACATTGTGGCAAGTGCTAAAAATACTGCATCAACCTGATCCCAGCCCCCTCTCTGCATAGCATTTTCTCTCCCATGAAAACTCAGCCCGATTCAGATTGGGCTGACATCATGGAAAATGATTGCCTGAGTCCCACCATGGATACAGCACAGGCAGACTGACAGTTTCTGAAAAGAAGGCAGGAACATGACAGCATCCACAGCATTCACCGCGAGCAACCGTGCCGTAATGAGTAGCAGTGTTGCGTGACATTAGATGGGCAAATGTGTGCATCTCTAAACAGACAGTATCACGTTGCTTCATTTTTTTTTTTTGCATTTCTTCCTGTCCCTTTAAATGTGCCTGTCACAGAGTCTGAGCACTGACATAAACACAACAGTCAAACAACGCCCATGAGAATAAGCCACTTACACTGAAAAAAACATAACAGGAAATTACAGAAGGAACGTTTCAATCCAAAAGTCTTTTCCAGAAATGTGTGCTCAGACTCTGAGAGCAAATACTCGCCTCTCTTTCATGGGCCATCACAATAGCTGAGATGATGAGTGGTTCACAACTTATTTCTCTATTGTAATAAACTGAATCAGGAGTGACGGATTATTCATGCAAATGCACAAAATCATATAGAGGGTGCCTGAAATCCTTAAAAGCTTGTGAATTTGAGGGGAAAATATCAAGGCTTTGATTGTTTTCTTTTTAAAAATGGACACATGGGTCATAAAAAGTGCTTGAATTTATGCATTTTGTGGAAGAATAGAGAAGGAAATTCTTTTGATGATTTAACTTTTAATGTCAATAAAAAGGCTCTTTGTAATTGTTGTCTGTGAGCTTCAGTAAATCTTCAGTAGAGCTTTGTAACAGTAACTAACCATCGATAGATAGGTACGTAGATATTAGTCCTTTTGGAAATTTATCATGCACCGAACAGCAGCCTTCAGATAAATAAACAGATAACTATAACAACAGCAACAACAACAACAGCACCAAAAACCCTAACATCAACAACAGGACACCTCACCATTATTAAAGACCTATTACCCATATATCAATAGAGTACATAACATTTGCAGCATCCTCACACGCAGAGCTTCAGCTATTTTATGAACCTTGATCCTTGTCTCAAACTTTGCTGCCTTGGGTCCTTGAACTTTATTGAATTGGGCCTGGAATGTCCTTGAAAAGTCATTGAATTTATGTTTTTAAATAGCACGGGAGCCCTGTCAGTTAAATAATGAAATATTTGTTAAACTGAACATGCTCACAGCGGTACATGTCCAAACCTATAAATACTTTACAAGGGCTGTAACTAATAATTACTTCAATTAACCGTTAATCAGCTAGTTTAGTAGTCAAGTGATCGCTTTGCCAAAAAAAAAAACTTTCAAAAAACTGTCAGAAATGCCCTGTATAATTTCAAAGATCAAGAGGATGTCTTTAGTTTTATCTGTCAAACTGTCTTTCTATTTAAAAGGAGATATCTGACTTTCTCAGATGAAAAGTAGCGCTTGAGTCTTGAGCAAATAAGATCCTGCACACTGCTCTTTCTCAGCATCACAGTTTATTGGTTATACTAACGTTTCAGTCTCTCTGGACCTTTGTGAAGAGCAAACAGGAGTCCAGAGGGACTGAAATGTTAGTATAACCAATAAATTGTGATGATGAGCAAGAGCAGTGTGCAGGATCTTCTTTGCTTAAGACTCATCAGCCAGACTGTCAAAAACTAAAATATATTCATTTAACTATCATATGATAAAGAAAGCTACTACTCAAATTACAGAGGCTGAAATCACAGATTATTTGGTACTTTTGCTTTAAAAAAAAGATTAATAAAATGATTAATAAATCATTGAAAATAGCTGCCAGTTCATTTTCTTTCCATTTATTAATCAGCTAATTGTTCTGGCTCTACTTTACACAGGGTTTGTGCTGTCATGTGTTTAGACATTTTGACAATTTGTAGTAGTTTTTTAGTAGTTAAAAATGGTTTATGGATCAGTCAGTAAGGATAACAAGTTATAAGGTTCTTTGTTCAAGTGTCTTCAAGTCACTGGATAGAGGGTAAATAAACTAAGATGTCTAATATTAATACTTTTCACAGCTTCATGAAAGTAAATAACACATATAGAGATAGGAAATTAGACACATATATGCTGCTAAACTGGTGACATCTATTAGAAAAGTTTCTGGTCTTACTCTGTAGTTTTTGTCTGTAGGGGACGGAGAGGACGGCGGTGACTCTGTCAGTGACTTCCTGGTGCGAGTCAGGTCCTTGGTGCGCGGGTAGTAGGATGACATCTCCCCCCTCTTCTGTGGACTGGCAGGTCAACTTCTACTGTAACATTCGCCGAGGCTACCACCAGATAACAGCTGCACGGACGCACAGATTCCCTCAAGCAATAGTGACGCAGATGCCCATGACTGCGCTCTTGGGGAATCCTCAGCAACAACAGGTGTGTGTGTGTATATGTGTGTATGAGTGTGTGTGTGTGTGTGTGTGTGTCTCAGTCCAGTTTCACACTCCCATGAGCTGGAGAGAGCTGCAGCTAAGTTTGGAGGGATTTCAGATGTGTGGTCACGCCTTCTTCAAAGCTCAGACAGTGAAGCAATAATCAGATAAAAATGCAAAGAACAACAAACCTAAATAACTTCTGCTGGTCATAAAAACAGAAAAGTAACTCTTTAACTAGTAAAGCAAACAAATGATCCTCCCTTGTGTCCGCTCTGTCAACACTGACGTCTTTGATGAAATGTGAAAAAGTCCAAATGGAAGCAGCCAAGAGAGAAAAGTTTGTTCCCTTTGCTCTCTCTTCTTATGTTTCCCAAAGTTATACACACACACTCTCTCCATCTCCCTCCCTCCCTTGCTTTCTCTCTCTTCTGCTCCTTTCACTGCTTGGTCACCCTCCCAGTTGCCCCCCCCCCACTTACCCCCAGCCCCCTCCTCCTCCCCACTCTCTCCAGCCTTGGCGGTCTGCCAGAGGCTCTGCTATGGCCGGACTCGGCACTCAGGGCTAAAATTGTCCACTGATGTGGACGGGGGATAAGGGAGAGGTGGAGCACAAAGCCAGAGTTGGAGGGGTGCAGCAGCAGTTTGTGTCCTGGAAGGTCAACACACAGTATTACCTGAGGAGCCATCAACAACCGTGAAGTGTCAAGTAACTCGGTGCACCCCGCAGTGTGATGGAGGGGAGATGCTGTTAGTGTGAGTGTGTTACACAGTGTCAATACGGAGCAGTTGTACTGCGTTTCCTTGCACCAAAATGTGCCTAATCTATTTAACATTTCAGTCCTGTCATATTAACGAGGCATTGGTAATTTTGTCCCACAGCCCTGATGATTATTTTCATCCTGTGGCCTTTTGAGGTTTGTACAAATATCAAGGGAGATTTTTTTTGTACAGTTTTGAATTAAACAGACAAGATATAACATGTTAATTAGTGAGCTTTAGGCCGGAGATAAAAGGAGATAAGATTTTTAAACACTTACACGAAGACAACCGGCTGCAGCGTGAACAGAATTGTTCACATTCTTGCTTGTGTACTACACGTGTTACTGGAGGATTCCACTAGAGGGCACATCGGAGACCTCACCTGTGTAGAATGTGACATACACAATAAACATGGCCCCTAAATAAAACACTTTGTGACAATGGTGAGTAAGTTTCTCACACTGCCCCTGCCCCATGTGCCTATTGCATCTTGCGGACATGTAGCATTAATTTCTGAGGACATGCACAAACAATGGTCCAGTCAGATGCAGGATACACGATGCTGGGATCACACTGGAAGCAGAAATGGCCTGATTTCGCCTGGCTGTTCACACCAGAGACACACTTCTCTGCGCCAGTCAGCAAATGATTCTGCTTCTCTGCTCTGTTTAAATCACATGTAGAGGTGTGTGTGTGTGTGTGTGTGTGTTTGTGTGTTCAGACACAATTGGCAAATATGTTCTATCATTTATCATAGATCATGTATATCATATGTAATATACACTTTATATCGTATATGATACATTTTCAGTGTTTTCTTTCCAGATTCCCTTGCAGCTCACAGAACACATAGACCAGGCGCCAAAACTATTGCTGCAGGTTGTGAGCCAAACGTGCCGCTCGGCAGCACACCGTGTCCAGTGTGTATAGCCCAATCGCTTAACATGGGCACCAAAGCAAGCAGGCAGCACTCCACAGAAACTGAGCATGCTTTGGGCACTTCCACATCCAGTGTGAACCTGGTGTGAGGCTGCCATCATGGGCATGCAAATACATAGTTAAAAGCAAGTCTATCTCTGGCTTTATAGGTGCTGGTAGGCAGATTTTGTTACCTTTAGAGCTGCACAATATATTGTTTGGTTTTTTTAATTTGTCATCATGAACCTGCTTGATAAACTCATCGCGAAAGACTGCAGTGTTGCACTTTGAATATTGTAGTATTAAATGTATGGGTATATGTGCCATGCTGTTAACTCTCTGGCCAGGCAGACAGACCCTTCGCCATTAGCCATTGTCTGACTGGTCAGAATCTGAACACATGCAAGTGAGGTTAATTAGACTAGTGCTGCCGCGCTGCTCTGCATGGTTGAAGGAGAGTGTGACAAGCTGAGTGCTCAGTGCTGCAGCTAATGATTATTTTCATTGCTGATTAATCTGTCAGTTATTTCTTGATAAAGCAATCAGTGCTATGGTTTATAAAATGTCAAAAAATTGGGATAAATGGCAATGAGTGTTTCTCAAACCCCAAAATAACATCCTCAAATGTCTCATTTTATCCACAGCACAAAGATATTTTGTATATTGTCGTAGAGGAGTAAAGAAACCCAAAAATATTCACATTTAAGAAGTTGCAATCAGAGAATTTTGACATTTTTGTATTTTATTATTTTGGGGTTTTGTATTTGTACAAACACAGCCACTGTGCAAGTCTGAGTCAAAAATGGAGTACACTGTAATATCTATTCTAATACAGTAACTATTATTGTGATATTCACATAGTTTCCTCATACAGTGCAGCCCTAGACAGAGCCAGGCTGGCTGTTTCCCCCTGTTTCCAAGTCTTTGTGCTAAGCTAAGCTACCTAACCTAACCAACAGCTGGCTGTAATTTCATATTCACCATAGGAACATCTTCTCAAACAGGTACTGAACTGTTTCTTTAAACAACCCTGCAACCCCCCCCCCCCCACTTTCTTCCCATAGTCTTTTGCACAAGTGGGCTCTTGCTGTCTTCCTTTTATAGAGAAGTTCGCAGCACCTCGCTGTTCCTAAACTCCCTCATACTTGCTCAGGGCGAATAGATAAAAGCAAAGATAAAGACACAAATACACAAGAGGAGGAAAATAGAACAATGTAGAGAATATAGAAGAGAAAGAAAGTGAGAAGTTTTGATTTTTTTAACAGACTGATGTTGATGTGATGTGCACATAAACAGAGGTGCAAATGTACCTCCAAGTACTTTAACTTGACTTTTAAACTCTTCTTAAAAGTTTGTTTTTAGCTTTGGTTCCTAATTTATTCTGTATTGTATCAGTGCGGGTACACTGTGTGGGCTTTTGTGCCAGATGCTTTGAGATACGACCCAAAGACTTAAATTAGCAACAGTAACCAGCTTGTATATACAGTATACTTGTAATGCATGTTCTTCCATGATAGACCATCTGTAGAGAATTTGACTTGGTGGCAGTGAACTACACTGGCACTGTTGTTGGAGAGTTTTATTAAGAGTGGATCCCAGCTGGAGTTCCCCCAGTCTGATCCTCACCCTCAGTTTCAGGACTTTCCATATGGGATATTATTCTTGTCTATTTCATGGACACAGAAAATGAGCCACAGAAGCTGCTACAAGAGTTTACTTGATTTTTGGAGTCAGTGCGGAAGAGCAGGAAGCCCTACCAGCCAGAATCTAATTACTGAGTCCCATAAGTGGTGTTGTAGGCGAAAGACTGTCCGCAGAGATAGTCATGCTCGCTCTATCTCTCGTTAATTCCCCGCATTATAATCGCTACCATCACCGACTGTCTTAAAAGCAGCAGAATCTGTGAACTGACTTGCTCTACACCTGTCTTTCCCTCTGTTGCTGAAAGTCACTGTGGAAAATCTGTTCAGATCATCATGGAGTCATACAGAGGTCGGCTCTGGTGATGGGCAGCCTGTCATGCTCCCGATGAAACCTCGCTGCTAGGTATGATTATCACAGACAGATATAGTCTTCTCCGTAACGCTATGAGACTCTCATGTTACCAACAGATCTCTGTTTCAGATTCCACCATGGGGGACAGCTGAACCGCTGACCTGGAGTCAGCTCACAGGGAAACTATATCATCTATAATCTATATCCTTATCAGCTCTGTTCCTGTACACGCTGCTATCTATCTTCCTTTTAGAAACACAGATTAATAGAATATCCTCACTGAAACTCAAGTGAATCGCCAGGTTGCAGCCAGAAGGAAGGATTAGTGATGTGGTTGAGTATTTCACATGCAGCACACAGGTGGAGGGAGCACAGTAACAGTTTAGAGGGTGAAAGGGAAAAGAAAGTAAATCCCTCTGAATCCATGGCTAAGACTACGCAGAGAGCGTCTCAGTTTGCCCAATATGGTATGGTATGCTGAGACACCTCAGCCATGTGATGTGAGGAAGCAAAGCGACTTAGAAGGAGGAGGAAGAGGAGGAGGGAGAGAGGGCGGGGGGTTGGTCCTCATGGACTGTCTTTCTATGTGATATTAACCAGCACTTCTTGTTAAAAGAACCTCTGAACACACGCTGCACATCTACGATTGCGGCACATCTCAAAATATTGCATCACAGAGCAGTGTTTGGCTGCCTTTGAAGCGTAGTTAGCTTTCGGGTGAGGGAGAAACAGGATGTGAATGTGAAACAATGGCGCTAATGAATATTGAACATTATTGAGGAAGTGTTCAATGTCTAGATGCCTGCTTCATAAATAAGACATAATTTTTACTTTGTTGACAATGTCATGAATGCTGAAACATATTCTCAGGAGAATGTATGAGACCAGGGGTGTCAAAGGGAACCAGCCCACCAAAGGCTCCAATCCGGCCCACTGGATGACTCTGCACATCCAATATTGATGCACTTGTGAAGACTAAGAGGTGCCAGTTTTAAGGAGTAAGTTAAACAGCGGTAGCCTACTTCTTGTAAAATGCTGCTACAGAGGCTTTTCCACTGATATTTAACATGGTGCAAAATATTGTCAGCAGCAGTTCAGTACAAAAGAATCTGCATCAGACTTCTACCTTAAAACAATATTGGTGAAACCCTATTATTAAGACACTGCCAAAAACATCAGATTGGTAAATGGTTTGTAAGGCAATGTGTAACCTAATCTGCTTCCTCAGTAGCATCCTCTCTAGTGTGATGTGGTGATGGCAGCATCACTACACAGTGGTGAAAATGTATGGGAAAACGCACATGTCATGACTCAGGCTTTTTATCATCTGCCTTGTAAATGATGAACATTTTCAGAAGGACTTCTTTACACTAAAAGAAAGGGAAACATTCAGAGATGTTATTTTTAGGTTATTATGCAATGGTTTTACTGGTCTACCTGGCTTAAGATCAAACTGGGCCGTATGTGGCCCATGAAGTAAAACGAGTTTGACACCCCTGTTCCAGACAGTAGTCTGTTTCAAATAAGCTGTAAATACCCACTTCTCCTCTGTAACACAAGGCATAAAAAGATAAAATATGAAGATCTTTTGGCTCCATCTAGTGGCGCAGACAGGAAACAACAGTTACATTTTTGCTATCAAGCACATCACCTGAAATCTGCTTTTTTTGTGATTGATAAAGGAGCACCAAATTGTTCCACTTACCACTGCGGTGTTGAAGTCTGAACCGTCGACGTCACAGCACAGTCGTCTCTGTTGCAGTGTCGTTGCAAAGGTCAGCTGAGCTGCATCTTCAGTAGGGTTCTGATTTTCGTCTGTTCTCCATCTCTCACCAGCTGCACACAAAGTAAGTATTTCTATTGCATACTAATCTATTTATCAATGGTAATAAATTAACAATTAAACAACACTTATTGTGCTTTCAGATTATCAGTAATTAGCATAACCTCACTCTTTCCTAGCTCATAAAACATACTCAACACTGTTTCAACACTGTTCCATTCCCTAAAAAATGGTTTTAAACTTGATGACCTGATGACATGTCTCAAAAGATTGATGATTGTGTCTATTTCGGCATCTCATTATCTTAAAAAACATCATTAAACACAAAAGATTTTGGTGTCTTTTTACACAGCACTGCCTCTCCCAAAGTCTAAGTCTATTAAATTATATTTGGTGTAATAAGTAAGTTCAGTATTTTGTCTTTTTCATCAAACATGCTTGTGGCAGTTTGTGGCAAAGTAAAGGGTTACCACCTCAGTATTTTTCTACATATTGGGTTTTCACTAGATCAGAAGAAAAGAAATGCTTTCTGACCTCTGAAGGCGTTGTTGCAGTAAAGCAGGCCGCAGGGTCCAGCAATAGACGAATATGAAAAGTTTGGCATTGGAGACTCAGCGAGGCTTTCTAACCTGGGTTCAATGTTCCCCTGCTGTATGCATGAGAGAAAATAAAAAAGGGAACACTGTAGATAAATCACAAACATCCCCTAAAGTTAAACACCAACTATCCATCCAATCTGCAGCACAAAGTCTGCATAAATTCCTCTTTCTAACCTCGTCCATTTTGCCCCATTTCGGACAGATCTCCGCTGTTTCTGTGGACTCTGTCAGGCCGATTTTGACTCTCCTGTCATCTGTCAAGCCTTTCCTCAGACAGGTCCTCTCATCCAGTGTGCATCCTTCCTCAGTCTGTCTGACTTGAGCAGACAGGCTGTTGGTCTTCTGAGCCTCTTTCAGGTCTGTCAGAGTCACGCCCTGCAGGACATTCATACAGCTTCATATCCATCAACAGTCAAACACAATCCAATAAAACCTGAACTTCTGTCAGCCATTTGATCTTTACCTGCGTTGACCGGCGGGTCTGTCTGGCATGACGAGACTTTGCTTTCCTCTGAGACTCTGCTTCTTCATCCCTGACCGGGGTCAGATACGACCTGGGTCAGTGAAGAGGAAAAGAGTAAACACAAAGAAGTAATAAGACTTCAGCTGGGACCTGTCACAGAAATGCACACAGAGGGCTCTTCAAGCCACACAGAAGACAGATTTATGACCAGGGCAAATCTACAGTTTATACCCTGATTATTATATAATAATGATAATAGTCTTTATCTGTGGAGCACTTTTTAAAACCCACAGTGCTTCACACACAAGGCTGCAAATTAAAACCAAGGATGATTAAATCAAATATGAAATCTAATCAAATGGGGGGAATTATAATTAACAAAATACAATAAAAACAATTCAAACTCAATTCAATAAACATAGTATACTGTTTATAATATTGTGTATATTATTACTTAATGGCCCCAAAAGGTATAAAGCAGAATATAATTTGATGTCTGTTAAACTCTTTCTAACAGACAGACTTCAAAACATTTTTATGGGGCGTCAGTGGCTTAGTGGTAGAGCAGGTGCCCCATGTACAAGGCTGTTGCCATAGCAGCCCGGGTTTGAATCCAGCCTGTGGCCCTTTGCTGCATGTCATCCCCTCTCTCTCTTCCGCCTTCACGCTCATCTGTCCTGTCCATTAAAGGCAAAATGGCCCAAAAAATATCTTAAAAAAAAAAACAAAACATTTTTATGATTTGACTCAGAAAGAACTTGAACCATTTTACCTCTTAATTTTATATAATTATTTATCATGATTTCTGGAGATATTTTTATCACATACAACAACATCTAACTTCAGGGAGGAGTGGCAACAGTGCAGAGGCTGCATATGAACTATCATAATTTTAAAATAGCCATGCATATTTCCGCGAAACTGTTTTGAAAGTTATACATCCTGTTTTATTTAGTTATTTTTGGTGTGGACAGCATGGCTCAATCAACCTATTAGGCCCCCACCCGCCTCCCAGCTCTCCACCTTCAAACCCTATTTTCCCAGATACCCAACAACTACTCCTGTGCTGCCACCTGGCTACAGGATTTATGTGTGTCAGTTAGTCTGTTGTAATTTGATTTCACATACATTTATCCAAAAATACGCTCCATGGAAGCAATAATAAAGGTCTTGAAGGTGAACACAACCTCAGTTAAGAATTCCAGTATGTTATTTCCATGACCTAAATATGTTGAATCAATATTTGTGAGCATGAGCTGCTCTCTTTCAAAGCCAGAAACCAGAGAAATGAGTCTCAAATGAGTCTTGTGATGTCATCAAGTATAAAGTCTGGAGCTGCTCCATAGACAAAGGGAGCCTGATTTCGTGGACCCACAGAATGTTTGTTTTCTTTTTTATACCCAAATGAGCTTTATTCTATTTTAGTCTCAGCTCTGAAACAGGAAATGTACCCATATACTCAGAACATGCTCCCAGTGTCATCTAGAACATCTTTTACCATTTATTGTCTATGGAGCAGCTCCAGACTTTATACCCTGTGACATCACAAATTTGAGTGTTTGCACTCTAGTTTTTGGACTGTCTTAGACCATAGGAATAACGTTGCAACTGGTACTGGACATCAATATGACATCAGACAGACAAACTCTTAAGTAGGACAGACGTAGAATATTGGTTGAGATGAAAATCAGGTTGACGATATTTTAAATGTCTAATGACATTAGGATTTCATGCTTTGTGGACGTTACCTATTTGACGTTTTGAAGACTTGGGTTTTGGTCTCCATACCTTCAGACTAGAATTTGTTATTCTACGTCAAAACAATGTGGGATGAGAGATTTTGATTACTTAACAATACAACTTAAAATGAACAAAATATTAACATCATCTGTCATCAGTATTCCACATCAAATTGACATTGGTATCAGACGTTCTGATATCAGGTGACCAAAATTCCATCTAAATTCAACAAAAGATTAATGTCTAATTATGTTGGTAGCCAGCTGGGTTGTAGGAATTTTAAAAATAAGACCCGCTTTAATTAGTATAGTTATTTTTGTATTTATGTCTTTCTGGCCGTTGCCCACTATGCCTCATTGGTAATACAGCCTTGGTGATGTGATTCAGTTCAATTGTTAGACTTTTATTGTGTTAACTAAATGTAAAAAAAGGAAATATAAAATGTGTGTTTTTAAAATATTAAATGCAAAATACACCCAAAAGCCACATTCGTCAAACTTCCTGCTGTGTATTTTTATTGTGGCCTTGTGCTACATCAGCAGGTCTAACATCCCACTGATTTACACTTAAATACACTTCACACATATTTCCTCCGTGCATTATCACCACTCCAACTTCTCAGTTTAACAGGAAATACATCAAACATGGAGCAAGATGCTCTGAAAATGCATTTTTATTGTGACTCTAAGACCTTAGCCCGATTTCTGCAAGAGGCTTAGCAGACACACACAGAAACAGCTGAGCAAGCATCAGTGGAGAGGCTCATGTTTTACCCAGAGAGCTCCCTGCCCCTCCTCTGCTAAGCTTTTACTGGTATTGATCTCTCAGTCGTGGAGTCACCCTGAATCCTGACTGAGTCAACGGGTTGTTAGCCGCACACTCTACTGTATGATGAACAAAGCATAGGATATGGACTATAGTCTGTGGGCTGATAGCTGAGATGACACAGTAAACGGATCAAACGCTTAACATGTTAGAGCTGTCCCAGCTGCAGATGCTGTAACAATTACAATCATGAGTTAATTCTGAATTTTATCCACCCAAATCTGTAAGCCATATACAGCAAAAATGCTCCTCTAAAGCTACACAATTAAAAATGTTAATAATTAATGTGCTCAAATATTTGCTTAGAATAATATCCCTCAGCCAATAATTACTAATGTACATAAAAAAGCTAATAGATGGTTTTAGCAAGTAGATCAAAGAGAGCGACTAATTTTCACCCCCTAAAGTAACAAACTACAAGCTCACATAGCATCAGTTCACAGAGGCCTACAGCACCTGTACGGAGCACAGTTACTCCACATTAATGACCAGGAGCTTTGCCAAAACACCGGCTCGTCAGACTGGAAGTGAAATTGGTGAAATAAGGCTCCAGGAATAGAACAGCATGACTCAGACTCTCTGGAACTTACCTGGGAACAAATGCTTGCATGGTCCCAGTGGAAGGTCAGAGACGGAGATACTGCAGCAGTGATGTGTGGGAGAGGCTGAACCAAATGACTTTGTAACAGGCTACAGTGCAGAGAGAGAGGAGGAGAGAGAGGGAGAGAGGAACTTCCTGCTCATCTGAATGATGCACACAATCGATACAGACTTTCTGTCGACTGAGGCCAATGCAATTAAGTCCATACACACTTGAGCTGAGCTAAACGTGTGCAGCAAACACATTTCTTCATTCTGGAAATGTTTGATCTGTAAGTTGTATGAAGACATCCACATGTGAGTGTGTTGCAGCCTCTCACTGCCATAGTATGTCAAGACTTGGTAAGCACAGTTATTCATTCATTTAGACACATATTGGGGGCTCAGGCCATTTTCAGCATATATCAGACACGCTTTGGTCGTCTGATGGCAAACCTCTATCCTCCTGCATGGGGCCTCCGACCTGTAAAGTCAAACAAAATGGGTGCAGGTTGGCATCTTTTCTTTGGGTGACATTAATTTTGCAACTGCAAAACAGTGCATATTCAGCACATTAAAATTACAAAGGAGTGAGCCCTAAGACACCCCATTTAAAATTCATTGAGATGGCAAAAACATTGTGGCAAAATGTACACATGTTTGAAAGATTGTCTCCTTCCACATAAAAGATGAACATGTAATAATAAAACAATTTAAATGGAGAATTTAATCTATACAACAGTGTCCATACAACTAAGAAGAGTCTGTGTATTTCAGTGTAGGGAGTGGGCTTGGACTTGGAGTGGACTTTTGCTAGATATATAAATGAGGAAAGGTTGTGTCGGGGGACTGCATATATATTTTGTAACACTGGGTGGTACTTGGACTGTAAATAAACTAGGTTTTTTTACTTAATTATTTAATTGGGTGGTAAATAGACTGGGGATAGCTGTATATTAGTTGTAAATACATTTGGGAATTTGCTGAAATATTATACAAGTTAAAAGAAGTAATGTAAGAGGGGTAGGGTCATAGAAGTTTTACTTCTACCTACTCCTTTTTGGACATTGTTATCTTTGTCCTTTTTTTTTGGTTAGAAATTAAGTTGTTCATTCAAATACCTTGGGACTGTAGCTTATAGCAAACATTTCACAAAATGAAGTAAATAGTGCATTTGTTGGGGACATTTTCAGCTGTGGGTTTGGTGCTCTAGTGCACTGAGTCTCAACCTGGAGCTCCAGATCCCCACCAGGGTTTCCCTAAAGATTCACAAGAGGTTGCGAGGCCTTCTTGAATATAAGGGGTGTAAGAAAACTTTTTAAAAAACATATACAGTAGGCCTTTATTCCATCACTTCATTCTTTTTTTTTTGGTTAAAAAAATAGAAGTTAAAAAATATTACAGGGCACGTTGAAGTCGTGAACACAAGCTATATTCACAGAGTCTTCACTCTCTGCTAAACAGCCTCGTCCTGCATTAGACAAGTGTGCACTCAAAACAACTAAAGCGCTAACGAAACAGCAATTGCAAAGCAACAGGAAAGGAGGAAGAAAAGGAAAAACACTGAACACTGAATTCCTAAAAAAAGAAGCCTTTAAATGTGTGTGATCATAAAAAAAATAATGATACATAATACAGGGTGCCCAGTAGCTCAGTGGGTAGAGCAGGCACCCCATGTACAAAGCATGTCATCCCTTCGCTCCCCCCTTCACACTTGGTCTGTCCCATCTATTAAAGGCATAAAAAGTAAAAAAAAAAAAAAATCTTTAAAAAAATACGTAATTGAAATAGCAAATAATCTGCCCAGAATTCATCATTTTACACAAATTTCCTGTAGTTAGGCATTTGTGGCTAATTGTACAGTTTATGAGCTGTTATGTGCTGTTATTGTTATGCTTCAAATATAATATGGAATATCCATGAAATATGTCAGTTGGTCAGGGGTCGTCAGTTTACTTAATGTTAGAAGAGGGCTCCCTTAAGGAAAGAGGGTGGGAACCAATAATGTACCCCCTTTTAAATATTTTTCTTTAATCTCTCATAACAGCTCACGTACCCTGTGCAGTACTCCAGAGTACCACTTGGGGTACAAGTACCCCCATTTGAGAAACACTGCCTTAGTGAGCATTTAATGTAACAACATGTCAGTCAGTGCAACCACATGGCTCATCACTGTGTTGTGGTTCCTGGATAATAACTAAACTCTTACACTTACACTCTTACACTATATATGGCTATGGCTATACAGGCAATAATTGCACCCAGCTCCAAGCACCGTTACAGTCACATATGATCAGTATGAACTCTGTATAACACAACAGGACAGAATCGAGTATACAAAAGTGAAAGAACCAGGGTTTATTTTAAAAACACAACAAAGTGAGAAGTGTCATTCTGAGAGTAACCAAAGCCTTGGCAAAAACAGTGCATTCTGTAAAAGTGAAAAGTCTCAGTAAAATGTACAGTGGTGTCCAAGTCTGACTCAACTACCAAGAACTCTGTTGAATCCGCTTATCAGAAACTTATTCCACACGATGAAGCATGACTACACAAACATTCGTCATGTCTCCACAGAGGTAATTTGATAATATATTTGATATTAATAACTGATATGTCTGTCCTTTGCCCTAATCACAGCTTGCACTTTTTCTGCATTATTGAGAATTCACATTATTCCAGCGCATCTCAGAGAAACAGTCTTGTACTGGGAACTTATGTTTTGCCCTTTATTTATTTCAAATGTTCCCGGCCATGTTCAGTGACAGAGAGGTTGAGATCTGGAGATTATGGAGATAAACGCTGGCACTCTTTGCTCCTCTTTCAGATTTCACAGTCCTGGCATAGTTGTGATCCATACGTAGGGTCAGTGTCCTGCTGGGTAACTCTTCTGCGCAACTAATGCTAAAAAGTCCAACATGACTTTGCAGCATGAAGTTGTCCTTCTGTTAAGTTCATATTTAGCTAAATGTGTGTATTTCAGCTACTGTTTGACTCTGGTTTATGAACTTCACCAACCTGTCACATGACCGCCTACACACAAAAGCTCCACGTTTACAACTGTAAAGTTTGAATCACCTAATCTTATGGTTTTCAACTTTGACATTTTGACACTGATTGGTTTAGGTCTGATGTTTTGGATAAATATGACTAGGTTGTAAAAGTCTCTCTGGAAACACAAGATTTAGCTGTTGTTCAACACTGCGACAGTTTTCCATCCATCTGGAGAACAAGTTGTCCCTGAGGTGCTTCACTGAGCTCACAGTTACAAACAACTGCTTTATTCCCCAAAGTCAGAACATTATGAGTAGTGATAATAATGCATAGAGGACCTGCTGTGATTTGTTAAAGACCCACAGCAGCACTAAATGATGCAAAGTCTGACTAAATTGTGTACTTTTGATTAAAAGTTTTAAAGACCCCCTCAAGTGTAAATCAAGTCTTAACATTTCCACTTGATGTTTTTCTATGTGTTACAAGACATATCGAGCAAAACAAGCAGTCAACGCCATGGTTGAGCATTTTGTTGATGAAACTGCAGTGTCCCAATGAAAAAAAACAAAAAACAAAACACAGATTCAGACAGCCAAGGTTTGTTACATCACAAACCACACCAATCACACGGGCTACCATTAGTAAATGTTGGGCCATTGGCGAGTGTCTATTGCACCAGTTTTTGGTAGGGGGCATCAGAGGGCCAACGGTGGTGGGGCCTTTTGTTTTTGTTTTTTTCTCAGGCCAATTCAGCATGAGACAGTGGAACCTCTCAGTGAGAAAAATCAGAAAAACAGAAGTGAGGAAAGTAAACAAATGGCTTAAGTCAAGAGTGTGAGATCGAACCTAACTTGTTATATCAGGTAAGATATTTTTTTTAGCCACTGAACTTATTAGCATAAACAGTTTGTAAATGACTGTTATTTGCTAGTACACAGTAAATATTATTTGCTCTTTCAACATCAGGTTATGATTTTAATGTGATATTTGGCTAACTAGCATCTTGAATCCATCCTGTCGGCCTTCTAGTTCCTCGTTCTCAAAGACAAATATAGACTATCGTAGCCTGCTGGTATTGAGGGTTATTTCCTCTCACACAGGCGCAGAACTTAAGTGCCAGTTGGCCATTGGCTGTAGTGTTTGTGGTGCGTTTAGTGTAACACAGGAGATGTGAGCCAATACAACAGTCGGCCTCCGTTGCCACTAGTTCTCCGATGTCGGTTTGGTGTGTCTAGGCCTGAAGGAACCAGTCCCTTCGACTTGAGAAACAAGGGGCATCCTAGGAGAAGCAGGAGTAGCTATGTATTTGTATTTTGCACGTTAAGGTTTACTTTCACTTCATCTGAGAGCTGGTAATCGGGAACAAAGGTAATCTAACATTAGCAAAACATGAAGTGTTTGATAACTTAGTCAAGCTGAAGGCTCGTGTTATCTGTGACTATTTACAAGCAGAGGTTTGTGCGTTTGACGAGCAAAGTAGAAGGTGAGCAAGTACACTCGAGCAGCAAGAGAGGTGGTGAGGGGCGGGGCTTGTATACATACTCATAAAATCATGCATACAAAAAAAGGCAAAGACGTACTCTGCGTTCCAAATCAAGTACTTTTTCTTTCAACTTCAAATGAAGTATTATGTCCCAGTTGTATGCATACTCCATGCAACAGTATGTACTGAAGTAAAGAAAAATTTGTAATGCAGCAGCAGCGTTACATCTGAGCCATTGTAAGGCATGAGGGGATTTTTTTAATGGAAACAACATATTAATATGTAATTCTGATGAGCACAGAGGAGGTTTTAGGGGTTCAATCCATGCCCAGAGTGGAGCTTTAAAGCAGTAGAGTGCTGTTGGTGAAACAGTTCTTGGTAGAGGACTTTAAGACCACTGTATCTTACAGCTACAAGTGTGTAGGTCTGAGTGGAATTGTAATCGGTTACAAAAGTGCTATATCAAAGCGAACTTCCATTTTTAAGTACTTTAAAAAGTTAAAAAAAAAAAAATCTATCTACTACATTTCATCCTATACTTTAAGAACATTCAGGAATTGTTCTCGTTTATCATATGAAAGATG